TCCAGAGAGTGGCTGGACAGAGGAAGATGGTCCTAAAGAAGGACTTGCTGAATACATTGTTGAGTTTCTGAAGAAGAAGGCTGAGATGCTTGCAGACTATTTCTCTTTGGAAATTGATGAGGTATGACAGCCATTCTTACACCTCTGTTGTATTCTTAAAATAAAAGTTCTGGCCAGGGGTAGTGGCTCAGGCCCGTAGTCCCAGCAGAGGATTTGGGATTTGGGAGGCCGAGGTGAGTGGATGACTTGAGGTCAGGAGCAGGAGTTCAAGACCAGCCTGGCCAACATGGTGAAACCCCATCTCTACTAAAAAAAAAATACAAAAATTAGCCGAGTGTGGTGGCAGGTGCCTGTAATCCAAGCTACTGGGGAGGCTGAGGCAGGAGAATCAGCTTGAACCCAGGAGGTGGAGGTTGTGGTGAGCTGAGATTGCGCCACTGCATTCCAGCCTGGATGACTGAGCAAGACTCCATCTCAAAAAAAAAAAAAAGTTCCAAGGTGAGGACTAGGCCTCCCCTGAGAAGCAGCAAGTGACAAACATGTCATCCTCTCCACTCCCTCTTTGAATTTCTAGGTTATGTAACTGTACTATTATCCATTCATGCCTCTCCTGTTTCCAGGGTGAAGGACCCAGACATGGAGAGCTGAACCCCTGCAGGCGACTGTAAATGAGATTATGCCATTCGCTCCCATTTCTTTACTTCTTGATCTTTGGGGCTCTCCATCTTGATATACTCTTTGGATCATTAACAGATCCAAAGAAAAGGTTGTTCTGCTGTGTGTCAGGATGAAAAATTCTTTTTAAGTGTTTCGCTCTGTCCCGTGCCCAGCCCGATCAAGTAACATGGTCACCCAGAGTGGCAGGTATGAGGACAAGGCCTGGAAAAGCACTGGAGAAATGGGATTTGTTTAAACTATAACAGCATTATTTTTTGTTCCCGTGTCCTTTTTCCTGCAAGCAGGAAGGGAGCCTGATTGGATTACCCCTTCTGATTGACAACTATGTGCCCCCTTTGGAGGGACTGCCTATCTTCATTCTTCGACTAGCTACTGAGGTCAGTGATCAAGCAAATACTAAGCATGTTGGTACATGCATGTGTGCTGGAGGGAAAGGGCACCTGACCACCCTTTGATCTGGAATGATAAAGATGATAAGGGTAGGACAGTTGAGGGCCTCCTCTCATCCCCACTAATATTCATCCCCAGCAGTATTCAGCAGTCCCACTTACAGTTTTAATGCCTAAAATGTCACACCTAGATTTTTAGCTTTAAGTAGTCTGTGATCTCCATTTAGACTGAAAATGTATTTAAATACGTACCTATTTTGAGGTATTCTTTGGACCAGGTGAATTGGGACGAAGAAAAGGAATGTTTCAAAAGCCTCAGTAAAGAATGTGCTATGTTCTACTCCATCCGGAAGCAGTACATATCTGAGGAGTCGACCCTCTCAGGCCAGCAGGTACAGTGGTGATGCCCATTGGCACCCCAGGACTAGGACAGGCCCCCATACAATCTTCAGGAAATGAAATTTGCCTATCTCTAAAATTTTGGGATTTCTTTGTGCCCAACAAGGTTCAAACACAATAGTCAGCTTTTATTCATTAGTTTTACTTCCTTCTGCTCATGGAGAACATATCTCCAGAGTGGCCTCAGAAATTGTCAAATATAAAAACACAAGCCATCACAGTGAGAAATGGGAGGTTGAGTTAGATTGCCTGAGGCTGGAGAGTCCATATACTCCCACTGATGGGTCTGAAGTGTGTAGCTAGTTTTCAGATTTTGGGTCAGTTGCGCCAGTCTGTCTGAGCTTTTGCCTTACTCTTTATCTGACCACTGCCTTGCCAGCAAAACAAGGCTCTGTAACTCCTCTTACAGGTCAACTTGACACAAAAAGGTTGCCTAGATTCCTAATGTTTTACTGTCACTTTTTCCAGTCAGATGATAATGCTTTTCAAATTAACAAGTATTTTGGAGGATGCTGGAGAGGAGAGTTGAAATATTCTAAGAATCAAAGGGTAGCCCACTTTAATCAGAGTATGACCCCTGATTGTTCACAGTCATCTCCTGAGCAGTGTGAGCCAGTTTCAGATGGGAGGCTGAAGTCCAGCTGGCATGCTCGAGGATTCCAAGTCTGTGGGTGGGAGGGCGGAGATTCAGTCCTCTTGGTCAAAGCCTCTAGGGAAATTTCTCATTCCAGTGGCGAAGGCAAGCAACACATTTACCAAACTGTGTGGCAACTATCTCATTTGATTGGAAATTTTACTTCAATAAAAGGAAGTACACCTGAGAAAGAACATTTTCTTTTTTTTTTTTGAGATGGAGTTTCGCTCTTGTTGCCCAGGCTAGAGTGCCGTGGCGCCATCTTGGCTCACTGCAATCTCCGCCTCCCGTGAGTGATTCTCCTGCCTCAGCTGGTCTCGAACTCGCGACCTCAGGTGATCCACCTGCCTTGGCCTACCAAAGTGCTGGGACTACACGTGTGAGCCACCGTGCCTGGCCAAGAAAGAACATTTTCTTACATGTGAGATAGCTAAGGCTCACATGGAGGAAAGGAATAATGAGGCAAAATCATCCCCAATAGTATTTTCATTACTTCCCTGGGGATTAGAAAACAGGACTACGTACAGAGTTTTCTAATGTTTGTAATGTAAGTTAGGTACTTCCTACTGTTGCCGTCCAAGTACAGGATCTGACATTATGTTCTATCTCCTGCTACAAAAACTATTTTCTCCCTGAATGAAAATAAAGGTTCCACAGGAGAGAGTCCCACAGAGCAGTGGCTTCTTTTCTCCCCTTAAAAAGCTCATGTTGGCCAGGCAGTGGCTCACACCTGTAATCCCAGCATTTGGGGAGGCTGAGGTGGGAAGATGGCTTAAGCTCTGGAGTTTGAGGCTATATTCAGCTATGATCACACCACTGCCCTCCAGCCTGGATGACAGAGCAAGCCCTTGTCTTTAAATAAATAACAACAAAAAAATCCTCTTCTGTTCAGGCCTGTGGGATCCCTGAGAGGCTGGCCCACCAGATGCACTTCAAAAGCGCTAGGTAACACAGCCCATTACAAGCCACCAAGTCTTTCCAGGCCCAGTGCACATCCCATCAGCCAGGATGCCAGGATATGTTGGGATGCAATCAGGGAGGCTTATGACATCTAATGTGTTTTCCAGAGTGAAGTGCCTGGCTCCATTCCAAACTCCTGGAAGTGGACTGTGGAACACATTGTCTATAAAGCCTTGCGTTCACACATTCTGCCTCCCAAACATTTCACAGAAGATGGTAATATCCTGCAGCTTGCTAACCTGCCTGATCTATACAAAGTCTTTGAGAGGTGCTAAATATGGTCATTTGTGCACTGTGGGATGTGTTGTTCATTCTTTGTATTCCGATGTTTTTGGGAGCACTTAAGACTTACACTTGCCTTCTAACTAACTGGTAATGTTCTTTTATACATGGTGGATTGATTATAAATAAATAGACGTGTCCTAGCATAATTTCTTATTGAATTTTATTATGTATATACTGTGTCAGTTCAGATGCCTTTTAAAGAGGCCCTGAACATGTCACAGGCTCTGATGGCATTGACCATGGAGAAAGCTTGACTTGATCATCTAGTGTATTCAATAACCAAAACTAGTAAGAAAAAAAAAAAAAACTTGAGGAAAGGAAGAAAACAGTCCTTATTTCATCTATAGTAAGTATGAGTTGTTTTTTTTTTTCTTTCTTGAGACGGAGTCTCACTCGCTAGAGTACAATGGTACGATCTTAGCTCACTGCAACCCTCCACCTCCTGGGTTCAAGCGATTCTCTTGCCTCAGCTTCCCAAGTAGCTGGGATTACAGGCACGTGCCACTATGCCTGGCTAATACTGTATTTTTAGTAGAGACGGGGTTTCACCACGTTGGCAAGGCTGGTCTCAAACTCCTCACCTCAGGTGATCTGCCCGCCTCGGCCTCCCAAAGTGCTGGGAACACAGAGGTGAGCCACTGCCCCCGGCATAAGTATGAGTTAGTCATATTTATTGTGCCGCAAAATAGGCAAGGTCAGTTTTGAACAATAAGAACTCCACAAAGTAGACCAGGGCACCTCAGAAGTGAGGTTCCATGAGCCCAGGTGTGGCACAGGCTGAGTGACCTTGAGTAGAGAGGAAGAGGGGTTTTCTGAGCTTTAAGAGCTGGGTCACACAGTATGTTGCTTCTAGCGGGGATGGAGTTCTAGAATAAACCTGCACTTTAGAACACCTTTCCACCCACCCCCCAACCACACAACTGTTGCTACTATTAGAAAAGGTATAGGCCAGGGCACGGTGGCTCACACCTGTATCCTAGCACTTTGGGAGGCAAATCCCTTGCTGTCAGGAGTTTGACCAGCCTGGACAACATGGCAAAACCCTGTCTCTACTGGAAGTACGACAATTAGTGGGCTTGGTGGTGCACACCTGTAGTCCCAGCTACTCAGGAGGCTGAGGCAGGAGAATCGCTTGAACCCGGTAGGTGGAGGCTGCAGTGAGCCAAGATTGTGCCACTGTACTCCAGCCTGGGTGACTGAGTAAGACTCTGTCTCAAAAGAAAAAATGTATACGAAAATCATCTGAATTCCGGAAATTGGTATCTGTATTTTTTAAATGAAGGGCTAAAGAAGGAACAAATATTAGAAATTTCATTCACTTTTGAGTTACCTTTTGAAAGTCTAGTTTTATTATCTCATGTGCCTTTAGTTACTAGATTTTCCCCAATATGTTTTCTGTGTAAACACTTTTTAAAGATAAATTAATAATTTCAATGAAACCACCTGGGTACTGAGAGCAAAAGAGAATCATAAATCCTGCAAAACAGTTGCACTCCATGGCTTAAAAAACCCTCTTGGACAGGGCACCTCTAAAGATGAAACTAAAGTCTTTAAAGTTCTACATTCCAGATTATTTTTCCTTGAGAAGGAGACAAAAGAAGACAGATGTGGTTGCCATGATTTGTTTTGAACTCTCCTGTAACAAAACGAACATGTCAGTAGCCAACTGTGGTTGGCAGAAGGGTATATTTAATAGAATCTTAAGGCAGATTTCTGACCTGCCCGCACTGCCCTCCCCTCCCCCTTTGGGTTTGTTTGAGGTTTCATTCCACACATAAGCAGCAGATAAAATACTTTACCAGGTACAGCACAGTTGTATTGAAGAATAAAGGACCTGACTCTTACTTTAAGAGTGTTAGGCCTGGACTTCCCCTGCCCCATGCAATAACGCAAGTTTTATATACACTCCCCATATTTTTTCCTAACATTTTCTTATATAAATTTAAATATTTTACAAAAAAAGGCTTTTTTCCTCCAGACATATAAATTTGAGTGAAACACAGATTTCTCACCCAAGAACTTGTTTCTTCACCAAAATATAAATGTTGTCTGATATTAAGGGTATATGTCTTTTGACCACTGGAGATCACTGTAGTCTGAATTGCACCGTGGAGAAGGCACTTGTGTTTTCTGAGGTCTCCAGCAAGTATTATCTCAGTGAGCACTCACAGAAATGCTGTCTGTCCTCCAAAACCCGTGCCAAGGCCTCCGAGTGCCCAGTTACTGAGGCAGCTGGGGGAAGATGTTAAGTAAACATGATTCTACAATTATGGAGATAAAAAATAAAAACAGCACGGACTGGTTCTTTCTTAGTCTAGAATCAAACTACAACAACATCCGAAGTGTTCATTCACGAAGATTCAAACTGGCTTCATTCGCTCATAAATTATAAAATACAAAGGTGGCTGTTTTAACGACAAAACTCAAAACAGTACTAAAAGGGGTTTGTGTCAATGGACAAAAGTCAGTCCCTCTAGGTAGGGGCCCAGGGAGCAGCACCCAGGTCAAAGGGTGGTCTTCCTACTGCTGGGCCAGAAGTGCGGTCCTATTGGCCTTCATCTTCTCCAGCCGCTTGGCCAGGTGGCTGTTGGTCATCTCCATCTCCTCAATCTTGTCCAGTGCTGTTCGTAACTGGAGACAGGGAGAGTGCAGTCACTACATGTGGTCAGAAACAACATCCAGTGCTACTTTATTTTCAACTTCTGGAAAATGAAAGCACTGCTATTGGGATGGCCTTGTGCAGGACCCACAGCCTCATTTTTTCTGTCAGGTAGAGGTATTAAATGATGATACTGAGGATTCTTTATTCGCTTTAATCACAGAAAGGATGAAATTGGAGAAATAATCCTGATCTGAAGCAAAAACAAAAACTGTCTTTTTACTTACTATCTAACTGACCAAAACATAAAAGGAGATGGCAGTCAGTATGCAGGTCAGAAACCAACACAAATTAGTAACTCCACTGCTGTTTCCTTAAGCATCACATTTCTTACACAGCTAAGAAATTTATTTCCAAAAGATATTTTTAGGAATGTATTTTCCAAGAAGCCTGTGAAGTACCTCTCTTTGTAGCTTCCTTTTTTCTGCTTTCAGTTCATCTTCAACCTTCTCAGCATTCTCAGCAGCAGTTTTGTATCTCATAACCTGTCCCTCAAGCCGGCTAATCTGTAAGTGTAAGAACACAGGCCTCTAGCACTGGGCACTAGAAGTCACCGCTTTTTGGTAGCCAAGATGGAAATACAATGTTATAAATGCCAAGTAATCTAACACTAACAAGTCCCCTAAGGGTGAGTCATAGGTCCTCTCAGAACTCATTGCTATTTATAAATCAAGAAATGTCCCCAGAGAGGATTACAGCTGTAGAGTCATTTTAGGGCCAATTTCCCATGCTAAGTTTTATGATGACCATAGTATTTAAGTCCCAAAGAGACTCACTAAATGGAAAAGTTCTTAGACTTTCTGGAATGTATACTAAGGGATTTTGTTGCAAATGATGATCTTGAATTCTCTTGAAATAGCTACAAAAACCAGTGATAGCTATAGTTTCCTATGTTCTAAGAGAAAACAGAAGGCTAAAATGCCCCACCAAGTGCTCTCTGCTGGCTTTTCTATTTGAATACAGAACTTTAATGGATCCAACTGCAAAGCATCCCGAGGCAACCCAGGCACTCCTGGGCTGTCAGCCACTTAGATGCAGGAAGGACATTTCCATCACCTGGTACTGTATACTAAAGTACTTACACTTTGCTCCAAGGTGGTTATATCCTGTTCTGCTTTTGAAAGCTTAAATTTGTATTCGTTAATTTGTCTGTTGGCATCTCCTAGAACAGAAGATAACAATGAATTATCTTCACCTGTCAGAGATGGACAGTATGAGCCATCAGAAAGTGCCTTTGCAGCACCGAGAGGACCATACAGTATTATGATTAGAAAATACAAATGCACACACAACAACCACAGCATCTTCAGCAGCCCATGTTCTGGACGGTATATACTACAAGATGCTCTAGCACATACGATACTACAGTATAACTTGCAACAAGAGTTAGAAGAAAATTCATTCTTCACCCTATGATGTGTGTGAGCAGAGCTTCCCTGCCAATTCAGCAGCAGCCCCTGCCAACCTTATGTGGAGCCTGTGGAGCCTCCATGGCCATGGGACTGGGCCCTCTGGTTCCTTGAATCCGGCCCCATACCTTCCCATCTCCCAGGTTTTGCTTCTGCTGTCCAATACCCTAAGGGTCCTTTTCTCCCACTTTAGACTTAACTCATAAACAACTTTCAAGGCCAAGCTCAATTTTCACCTCCTACATGTCTCTCCTTAGTTAATTATAACTCTTTCCCTTTCTGTATTTTATTTGCATTTTATAACATTTATCATGCTTTTTAAACATTGTATATGTATATAAGGAGGGGGCCTGTCTTGGCCTTCGTAAATCTTCCTCTGTACCTAGCCAAGTGCTTTGCACGTAGTGTATGCTTAAATAAATATATGTTGGAATAAATCCTGTTCAGTAACATGATAATGTGTTACAGGTAGAGCTATAAGTTATCAGATGAACATCTGACCTAGGAAGTAAATCACTTAAAATGAAAAGTTTAGAAATGATGGGGGGGACTTTTAAAATCCCTCCAAGAATCCAAATTTAGCAAAAACCAGTCTGGCATGATTAGAGTAATAAGATTTCCAAAAGATAACCAAATCTAACCTACCACAGGAAATATTCCGATTATCTAACTTAAGAACTTTGCTACATTTCCACATGACCAAGGTACAATTGTCTATAGTCTTCAATGTGAGAGATTTTTCTAATTGGACCGTCACTGTCACCTTAAAAGTAACAAACAGGGTTACCGTTTCCCCAGAAGCCATATCTGGTAGTGAAAGAGATCTATTCCTATTTCTGAACTAAAAGAAGCTTCAGGATCTTATTTTTAAATTGTTAACCTCAGCAACCTATTGATTATCCAGTGTGCTGCTTCCTTCTCACTCTCCACACTACCTTTCCCTTCTTGTTTTCAAAAGCTTAAGTCCCTTGTCTCAGTAATTTCACGTGTGTTTTGAAATCCCATTCCAAAACACTCGCATAATAAGCAAGGCACTATCCAGAACCTACAATTGCTCCACTCCTGGCCTTCTGGTCCAGGGGAGCTGCTTGCTTTTGTCTTTGCCAGCTTTCCCACAGTTCTGCAAAGCTCACTTTGTTCTACACCCCCTCCCAGGTACTTTACCTTCTTCAAATACCAGCTATTTGACGCCTACCTACTCTAGGAAGCATTCGCATATAAATGCCAGCCCATTCCCCCTCAACCTGTTTCCTTTTAGATTTCCTGCATAAGGACAGTCCCTCAGGTCTACCCCCACCCTCCCTCTGGGACGGTTCAGGCTCACCGTCATAGTAGCTTCCTAAGTAGTCAGTCTGCCTCTTCCTGTGTCCCTGTCCTCATCTACCCTCCACACCAAAACGGCACTTTTGAACAAAATATTCACCAGGAAATGTCACAAGTGTCCCAGCTGACGTCTAACAGAAGAGATAATACCAATGTCAAAAGTTAATAAGGCTTAATCCAAAAAATCTTTTTTTTTTTTTTTTTTCTCAAAGAGACAGGTTTTCACCACATTATCCAGGTTGGTCTTGAACTTCTGAGCTCAAGCAATCCACCACCTCAGCCTGGCCCCAAGAACTCTTTTCTTGGCAGCCTATCTCAGATTTAGATGAAAAGTCCAGGGAATAAACAAGATTTTAATATTAGTTATCAGAAAAGTCACTATTTTTATTGGAAAATAAAAATCTTCTCTGTCCGAGAATTATACAGAATCACTAACAAAGGCTAACTACAAATTGCTGCTGAAATCTTCCTACCATGGAAATTAGTGTGAATACAGTGATCATTTTATTATGAGGTCAAAAGTAGAAAGTGAGAAAAACTGGAATAATCTGGGTAAAATGAATAGATGTTATTTTGTGGACTTATATTTCACCTAATAAAGATTAATTTGGATTAATAAAAATACTTCTAGGAAAATTCTTAAAACTATTCAGTTTAGTGTAAAATAGTTCCAAATATATTCCTCCAATTATCCAAGATAAATTCCAGAGAAAAAATCTTTAATGGGGAAGGCAGCTTCCTGTATGGGAGCTTAAAGATGACACATGGATGTGGAAAAGAATAGTGCCAGGTTATCAAAAGGCATTTCTCTATGTGCAAGAAGTTCCTGGAAATCACTTTACTCAAAAAGAGCAAGAGCAATAAACCTCATCATCCCCTGAAGCACACAGGCTAGGAGAGCCTCTCTGTTCAGCCATATTGCTGACTAGGACTGTTTTTCTGGACTGGCCAAGGACTAACCAATCTCTGCAGCATACCTTTTAAGAAAAGTGTATTATGGCAGGGTGTGGTGACTCATGCCTGTAATTCTAGCACTTTGGGAGGCCGAGGCGGGTGGATCACCTGAGGCGCCAGGAGTTCAAGACCAGCTTGGTAAACATGGTGAAACCGGATATCTACTAAAAACACAGAAAATCAGCTGGGCATGGTGGGAGGCGACTGTAATCCCAGCTATTCAGGAGGATGAGGCAGGAGCATTGCTTGAACCTGGAAAACAGAGGCTGCAGTGAACTGAGATCGTGCTACTGCATTCCAACCTGGGCATCAGAGTGAGACTCCAGTCTCAAAAAAGAAAAAAATGTAAGCAGGTGGTTCACGCCTGTAATCCCAGCACTTTGGGAGGCTGAGGCGGGTGGATCATGAGGTCAAAAGTTCAAGCCCAGCCTGGCCAAGATGAAACCCCATCTCTACTAAAAATAGAAAAATTAGCCAGGGGTGGTGGCAGATGCCTGTAATCCCAGCTCCTCAGGACAGGGAATTGCTTGAACCCAGGAGGCGGAGGTTGCAGTGAGCTGATAATCACGCCACTGCACTCCAGTGTGGACAACAGAGCGAGACTCCTCTCAAAAAGGAAAAAAAAATTGTATTACGAGACTCCAGCAGCCTGCTAACAAACCCACTCCTGGGACACAGTCTATATACAGACTGGGACTGGCCTGTGCCCTGGTACCTACTCTGCATTTCGATGAACTGCAAGTCTGAGCCATTCTGCAGTCCTGCCGGGTCACCCACTGTGCCATCATTCCTGGAGCATTTCTGTCGTTCCTCTTCTAACTGAAGCCTCAGTTTTCTAATCTGAAATGAAAATAAAGGTTCATCAGCAAGTTCCAGTCTCTCAAATGAAGCCAATGCTTATTCTATGGCCACATCATAGAACAAAGCAGACCCTTACCATAATAGCCACACAAATCATTAATTCATTCAAAACCCGTTTTCTTGAGTGCCTAATAGGAGACACGCTGTCCTAGGTGCTAAAGATAAGCTATGAACAAACATTGAAAAGAGCAAGCCCCAGGACCAGGTGTCCCAATAAAAGTAGCCATATTTTAAATTTTCTCTGCTTATGGAACAGTACATCCTTGGGGTATTTTTTGTTACTTTTATTTAAAATGGAAAATTCCAGCCAGGCACCGTGGCATGTGCTTATATATCCGGCTACTTGGGAGGCTGAGGCATGAGAATCACATGAGTCCAGGAGTTTGACATAGTAAGACCTCATCTCTAAAATAAAATAAAAATGTACACAGCTAATTGATAGGATATATTCAAGGGATTATTTTTAAAAATGGAAGAGTCCATGAGCAGTTTTTTATTGTTGTTTACTTTTAGACATAGGTTAAATTTTCTTACTTAGAAACCTTTCTGTATATAAAAATAATTGGATATATAGAGATGGCTTCCCAGCTGTCCTTAACTCTATCAAAAGGGGTCAAAGGGAAGCCTCTGCACTAAGATTAAGTTTGCTGTTCCCCAATGGGAGAAGAGTGAGCTCTGTATTGGGACTAATCTATACTTCCCAGACATCTCCACCCTTTCAACACACATAGTAGGGTCACCATCTTTAGCTGCCTTGAAGGAACCAGGACTAATCTCACGTCTATCATTACTATTTACGTGCATCTTGCAAAGGGTCATGTCCTTCTGCACTCTTTCTCACAAGGGTCTGTATGCCACTAACCTTCATCTCCTAACCTTTCCCAATGCCTGAAACTTTTCCACTGTGCCTTCTAGAATTGCCAGTCCATTATCAGCAAACCATCTGCCCTCAATCTCTTCTCTGAGCATCCTCCCTTTACCCTCATGCTGATGAGAACCCTCTCCCTTAAGAATCCTGCTTCTGCAGCTCTCTCACTTTCTTTTTTTTTTGAGACAGGGTCTTGCTCTGTGGCCCCGACTGGAGTGCAGTGGTGTCATCTCAGTTCACCTCCACCTCCCAGGTTCAAGCAATTCTCCTGCCTCAGCCCCCCAAGTAGGTGCGATTCCAGGCACATGCCAGCAAGCCTAATTTTTGTATTTTCAGTGGAAGGGGTTTCACCATGTTGGCCAGGCTGGTCCTGAACTCCTGACCTCAAGCGATCCACCCACCTTGGCCTCCCAAAGTACTGGGATTACAGGCATGAGCCACCGTGCCCAGCCAAGCACTGGCTTTTTACTTCCACAGCCTCTTACCACTGAACCTAAAAATGGAATAGGTGTCCTCTTGCTTTCCTTAGGGTTATTTTCCCTCCATCTTCCCTAAAAGTCCCAGGTCTTAATCTCGTCTCGTCAAATTATATATACTAACTACTTATCATTGCCATAATCCCATTCCTTCATTACCATTTATTAAATAGCTCCCAATTTGCACTTCCTCTGAACTATTCCTGTCTGAATTTTTGGCAATTTCAATGTATATCTAAGTAGAGGATCTCCCTTACAAATGATCTCTCAATTTCTGGAACACCTCCTAAGGTCTGGATATCTGTCGCCTCCAAATCTCATGTTGAAATGTAATCCCCAGTGCTGAAGGTGGGGCCTGGTAGGAGGTATCTGGGTCATGGGGCAGATCCCACATGAATGACTTTGCACCATTCCCTTGGTGATGAGTGGGTTCTTGCTCTGGTAGTTTACACGGTATCTGGTTGTTTAAGAGTGTATGTCACCTCCCCACTCTCTCTGGCTTCCACTCTTGACTTACGTGTCTACTCCCCCTTCACCTTATTCTGTGATGAGAAGTTTCCTGAGGCCGGCTGGGCGTGGTGGCTCACATCTGTAATCCTAGCACTTTGGGAGGCCAAGTTGGGCGGATCTCCTGAGGTTAAGAGTTGAAGACCAGCCTGGCCTGAGGCCTCAGGAAACAGCTCAGAAGCTGAACAGATGCTGACACTATGCTTCCTGTGTCAGCATGGAAGAACAATTGCAGAACCATGAGCCAATTAAACCTCTTCTTCTTTTTTTTGGAGACAACGTCTCACTCTGCCACCCAGGCTGGAGTGCAGTGGCTTGATCTTGGCTCACTGCAGCCTCTGCCTCCCTCCTGCCTCAGCCTCCCAAATAGCTGGACTACAGGTGCCTGCCACCACGCCTGGCTAATTTTTGTATACTTTTTAGTAGAGTTGGGGTTTCACCATGTTGGCCAGGCTGGTCTCGACACTCAACCTCAACCACCTGCCTCAACCTCCCAAAGTGCTGGGATTACAGGCATGAGCCACTGCACCCAGTGAAAACGTTTTTCTTTATAAATTGTCCAGCTTCAGATATTCCTTTATAGCAAAGCAAAAAAATGGACTAACCCACCTTCCTTCTAAGGATCTTGCCATCTATCCCTTCTTACCCTCAGCTACTCACTCTCACAGTCAAATACTAGATCTCATCATTAGACAGTTGTAATCCCTACACAATTTAGTTCCATGGATCCTCTAACCACTATTCCTCATCTTTCTAGGTCATTCTTTCTAGACCAGAATTCCAACAACCCTTCAACCACACTGGTACCACTAATCTACAGATTACATCTTTCTACTATACCTAATGTGTTCCCGAATATCTCCCAAATCCTCTTCATCCAGTTTAATCTTAAGGTCCATCATTATAATCATTTTCTTACAAACTCCCTCACCTCTCCTGCTCCATTAATACTGTCCTGGTAAAATCTAGCTCTCTACCCATTCCACGCCTGCCCCTATGCAGCAGAAAGTAGGCAGAGAAAAACATAGAATAAATGCATTCACACAAACCTTCTCTATCATATATTGTTTATTGTCTGATGTTTTTGTACTAGAATGTCTCTCAGGCAGGAATTTTTTTCTAAACTGACTTATTCACTGAAATATCTCAAATACCTAGAATAACACATGTTAAATAGCAGAATCTCAACACTTGCTGAATGACTGGAGTTCCAAAACAGAGAACACAGAGGATATGGGAGGGAAAAAAATCAGTAACAAAATCATTCAAGAAATCTTCCCAGAACTAAAGAATAGGTGATCCTAGAATTGACAGGGGCCCAGCATCATACATGAAAACTTAAACTCACATCACTATCTTCAAATTACACCAGAATACTAGAGACAGAATAGGACACAAGCTTCCACAAAGAGGAGAAAAATAGATAACAAATCAGAAAAGATCAGAACTCAAAACGTTCATGAAATCTCAATAGCCATACTTAAAGCCACAGCACAACGAGGAAATGTCTTTTAAAAAAATCTTAAGGAGAACAACTGCAACTCAGGATTCTATACCCAGCTGAACTATTTTAATCAAGAGAGAGTGCAAAATGAAGACATCTTCAGGCCTGCAAGGTCATGAAAAATTAACAACCCACAAACCCTCTTCTCAGGAATTTACTGGACAATGTACCAAAATAAGAGAATAAATAAGGAGCAAGGCATAAGACACCAGAAAAAGGAAACCCAACCCAAAGAAAATCCCCAGATGTCACTGAAGGGGAGGACCATCATCTATGTAAGGAGAGAGCAAGCCATTAGTTTAGAAAGGGACAAGTCAGATGCACCAAGATGCAGCAAACTGGAACTGAAAGAATGTCATATGCATCTGAAAATCCTGAGTGGGTTTAATCTACTGTTGGAGACTGCCTAAATTGATGACAGAAAACCAAGCAAATACAAAGAAAAACTATAACATTAACTTTAGAGGAAACTAACAGTTGTGAAGGAGAAACTGTGATCCTCAGATGCAATCTGGCTCCACTGTGAGCAGTGTTCAGAGGGTCCTAATGACACAAGCAGACTGGAATTACACTGTTTCTTTATTAGGAGGATATGGGAGTGGGAAATACGTGTATGTGTGGCAGGGACAGAGGATGAAACAGCTAAATCCTCATCTTCCTAAAGGGATGTCAATATAGAATGCCTGAAGCAGAACGATCAAGAAGCAACATAAGTATGTTATAGAGACACAAGGACTGTACACAAGAATCAGCTAAAAGCACTTAACAGAAATGGTCAGGGGTGAGGACAGAGGTGCCAGGGCAGGGGATTGCTATGCTCATAACAAGCTTTGTAGAAAACTATATGACTCTTTAAACTATGTGCCCTTAAAAATTTTTTAAGAACAGAAAATAACAGGCAAAATATCAATTATCTATCCTTCAAATCTCACTTGAGTACTGATGTGTGAAATAAGTATATTTCTTTCTAATGTACATTTCAGTTAGCTAGTATTTTACCATGTAACTTCGTTAAAATTATATTACATTCCAGTAAGAATGCCTTTACCTGTGACAGCAGTTCTTCCTTTTCTCCAGCAAGTTTTCGTAGCCTTACATCTAAAACAAATGAAAAAGATCGTAAACTAAATGTGATAATACAGTATATACACAATTAAAACTTGTTCAGAGTCATAAGCTAATATTATCTGATAAGCTACATTACTTGCAGCTGTGGCTATCTAAAGAAATAAGGCTTTAGTAGCATTACAGAACAGTTCCTAATGATCTAAAACGTACTTCCACACACTGATACTTGTCAGGGCACCAAATACAACATTTGCTCCCCAAAGCAGTGATTTGCCACTTAAAGATAAACTGAAGTAAAAGGAAGTCCTTTCCTTGTTTCAAGTTTTCACTAGTAGACAGGCAGCTCATGTCAAGTGTGTTCCCACAGGCTGAGCCCTCAGCAGGAGAGCGCCAAATATGTGAAAGAAGATGGGTAACAGCAGGACTGGGCGAAGGAAGCTGGAGGAGAGAAAAAAGAGGAACACAATGCTGGAGGAAGCAAAGTCCCAAAAGCCAGTGGGGAGGGAAGGGGACCCACTCCAAGATGTGGGCAGCTGGGCCAGGCGCGGTGGCTAACACCTGTAATTCTAGCACTTTCGGAAGGCCTAGGTGAGTGGATTACTTGAGGTCAGGAGTTTGAGACCAGTCTGGCCAACATGGTGAAACTCTGTCTCTACTAAAACAATTACAAAAATTAACCAGGTGTGATGGCAGGTGCCTGTAATCCCAGCTACTCAGGAAGCCATTTGAACCCGGGAGACAGAGGTTGCACATTGCAGTGAGCTGAGATCACACCACTGCACGCCTGACTGGGCGACCAGGTGAGACTCTGTCTCAGATTAAAAAAAAAAAAAAAAAAAAAGATATGGGCATCCATGGGTGATCTGAGGCTTGGTAGCAGCATCATTAGGGCTCACTCCTGGGCTCTGGAGGGGTTGACTCTTCCCAAGCCTGCATTAAAATAGGCCCCTTCAGCTGAAGAGATACTGTGGTTCAGTTAAAAAAGCAGCTAACACCTGGCCAGCCACTACCCTCTATAAACAGTTAGGGTCACAGCCAAATATAGATCCTGGTTTCTTCTGCACCTTCCAAGCAGGTCTGCCTGTTTGGACCTGCGGACCAGGGAAACAGCTGCAGGGAACACCCTGGGCTGCCTGTGGCCGTATTCTTGTTCCATTCTCCAGATGTCTCTTGCTCACCCAGCATCCTGCTTTATTCACAGTGCCCTACAATCACGTTTCTAGAATGCTCCACATCAGAGAATGTGCTCACTTTTAAATGTTTTTCAGTTTGCTTCACACTTCCATCGCTCACTCCTCTAAGAAGCTAACACATACATGAAAACAAAATGAAAAAGGGAAAAAAGATTTCAAAAAAAAAATAAAAGTTAGCTAATAATACGGTATCTATCTGTGTCATTTTTCTTCCTCTAGAGTAGATTTCTTAGTGGGGTCAATGGATGGGCGGCTTTGGTTTCTTGGAGAGACATGTCAGCAACTGTGGAGTTTGCTGGAGAGAGGTGTCAGATTCTCAAAAGGTTAAATTTAAGAGCTTTAGACTTTAAGAGTCTGGGAAGCCCTGCTTTGGAAATCACACTTCTCTGATATCTATCTTTTTGGTCATCTGTTTCTTGGCGTAAGAAATGTGGTGGAAAAGAGGTACAGAACCCTGGGGCAAGCAGCGGAACGTAAAACCAGATGTTCAAGGGAAGTAGCACAGGTATACTAGACTCTCTCTTTGCAGGAAGTTTGCAGTTAAGTAAAAAAACAATGAGTGAGGACTGTAGGAGAACGATCCAAGATGGCCGATCGCTAACATCCCGGGATTGCAGCTCTCAGGGAAGGCGCGGAGAACTAGAGGACGCCACACTTTCAGACAAAGTCTGGTCGCTCATGGAGCAGAAGATCCCCCAGTGGTGGAAACACACGGGTCGCCGGCGCGACTCTCGTGGTCGGCGCAGCGGTTCCGCCGGCACCTCGGCGTGGCAGCTCTCGGAGCAGAGTAAACGGGACCGGCTCCCCTTCTGACCGAGGTTTGGAGCCCCGGGAAGGCGGAGTCGCCTACTACGGAAACAAGAAGGAAGCCAGACAGGAGAATCCTGGGCAGAAAAGCACCATCAGTTTTAACGCCGCTGCTCTGGCCCTGGGAACTAACAACCTGGACGTCCACTCAAGAGACCTAATCTGAAAGTTGGTAATTTCAAAGACGAGAGGAGGATAAATTTACAATGACGGGAAGAAACCAGCGTAAAAAAGCTGAGAATACTCAAAGTCAGAACGCCTCTCCCTCTAAAGATGATCACAGTTCCACATCAATAATGGAACAAGGCTTGATGGAGAACGGGCGCCTCCTGATGACAGAATCACTCTTCAAGGAATGGATAATAACAAACTTCGGTGAATTAAAAGAACATGTTGTAGCCCAACGTAAAGAAACTAGGAACTTTGACAAAAGGCTTGATGAAATCCTATTGAGAATAGACAACTTAGAGAGGAGTATGAGTGAATTAATGGAACTGAAGAATACAATACAGGAACTCCGAGAAGTATGCACAGGTTTAAACACTCGAATTGTTCAAGCAGAAGAAGGGATATCAGAGGTCAAAGTCCAACTTAATGAAATAAAACATGAAGAAAAGATTAGAGAAAAAAGGATAAAAAGGAATGAGCAAAGTCTCCAAGAAATGTGGGACTATGTGAAAAGACCAAATTTACGTTTGATAGGTGTACCAGAATGCAACGGAGAGAATGAATCCAAGCTGGAAAATACCCTTCAGGATATTATTCAGGAAAATTTTCCTAAACTAGCAAAGCAGGTCAACATTCAACCCCAGGTAATACAGAGAACACCACAAAGATATTCCTCAAGAAGAGCAACCCCAAGGCACATAACCGTTAGATTCACCAGGGTTGAAACAAAGGAGAGGATACTAAGGGCAGCCAGAGAGAAAGGTCAGATTACCCACAAAGGCAAGCCTATCAGACTTACAGCAGATCTCTCGGCAGAAACTCTACAGGCCAGAAGAGAGTGGGGGCCAATATTCAACATCCTCAAAGAACAGAACCTTCAGCCCAGAATTTCATATCCAGCCAAACTAAGCTTCACAACTGAAGGGAAAATAAAATCTTTTATGAACAAGCAAGAACTCAGAGATTTTATTACCACCAGGCCTGCTTTACAAGAGCTTCTGAAAGAAGCATTACACACAGAAAGAAACAACCAGTATTAGCCTTTCTAAAAATACACCAAAAAGTAAAGAGCACCAACATAAAGAAGAATTTACACCAACACATGGATAAAACAGCCAGTCAACATCAAATGGCAGTAACCCTAAATTTAAATTGACTAAATTCCCAATCAAAAGACACAGCCAAAACCCAACGGCATGTTACATCCAGACCTGTTTCACATGCAAGGATACACAAAGACTCAAAACAAAGGGATGGAGAAAGATTTACCAACCAAATGGAGAGCAAAAATAAATAATAAATAAATAAAAAGCAGGAGTTGCAATTCTTGTATCGGATAAAATAGATTTTAAAGCAACAAAGATATAGTGGTAAAAGGATCAATGCAACAACAAGAGCTAACGATCCTAACACCCAGATAGGAGACTTAGATTCGATGAGACAGAAAATTAATAAGGATATCAAGGACTCGAACTCAGATCCAGAACAAGTAAACTTAATAAATATTTATAGAGCTCTCCACTTCAAATACACAAAATATACATTCTTGTCAATACCACATCACACCTACCCATTAGTTTAAATGAAACATTGATTGGCCATTATTAATACCCAATTTTTTTCAAAATAAAGCAATATTTCCATTTACTCTCCCTCTTTCTCTTCCTCTTTCTTCCTCTCCTTTACTTATTATTATTTTTTTTTTTTCTTTCCTTCTCTCAAAAAAAAAAGAAATCAACTTGTAAACCTCTAGATCCAGGTCGGCAATGTCTCTTTCATTGCTTGATTTCCTTTCTTCCCTTCCCTCCCTCCCTCCCTCCCTCCCCGCTTCCTCCCTTCCTTCCTTCCTTCATCCCTTCCTTCCTCCCTACCGTCCTTCTTCCCTTCCTTCCTGCCTTCCTCCCCCCCCCCCAAAAAAAAAAAAAACAATGAGTATAGACCCACAATACTTCCATCCACGGACCTTACAGTTACACTTATTGCTTACAGTGACTCAGATCCTGGTTTCCCAAGGTCAAGGATGTCTGAAGACAGTGTGCTAATGTACCCAGATTCTTCTGGCTAAGGATCCACTTCAGTCTCAGACAGCCTTTATGCTGTTTTTGTTTTCCAAGCTGGGATATGAAAAAGCAGAAAACCCAATAGGGCAACATTCATCCACGTCAACATAGCAACCAGTATCTCACCTAGTGGCCCTTCTCCTGCTGACTCCAAGACCTGAGCAGCTTCCTGAGACACAACAGTGATGGCTCCAACCACGGGTTCATGACTGACATCACCATTGGGAGTGCCATCGGGGATTATAACTAAGCCATGTTTCTGCAGGGAGAGGAAAAATCCACCATCACAAAAGGCCCACATGGAAGCAGTAAGCTCTGTGAGGTAATTCTGTAAGAATACATGTTTGCCACAGGTAAAACCTGGTTAGAATCAGTTACATGGATTATAGCTCTGTGTAAGAAGTAGCTTAAACCTACCAAATCTGGATTAGGGAATAAACGCTGTAGTTTGTATTCCATCCAAGAAAGATGGCAGGGCAAAAGGAAGAAAGCCGGAGTAGAGCAGCGAGGGACCTGAACCCCAGGCTCGTGCCGACATACCTCTCCTGTCTTCACTGTCTTCTGCAGGTCAGCCAGCTCCTCTCTGAGCATATCTCGCTCATTCCTAAGGCAGGCAATGTATTCTTTCTGTTTCTCTAGGGCCTGGTTTTAGGCAGGGTAGCAAGGAAAACAATGGCACAGAAAAAGAGCAGGTGAAAGGTAGCAGAGAAGTACCTAATTCAAACAAGCAAAGATAAAGGCATAAAAAGCAAGGAAGCAGTCAAAAGATTGGAACAAGCAGTCAGATATGGGAGGAAATAGAGTTACATGGATATACATCTCCAGAAGAGAGTTCTCATAGAAGCTGGCTCTCATGCATCAATTTGGCAAAGCATGTTTAATCAAATTAAGCAGGGAAATAAATCTTTCTTTTCCAGTCAATGAAACAAAACAAAACAGGAGAAGAAAGATGAAGACAGCGGCCAGAGTAAAATAAAACTTTCCTTACTGCCTCAGTACGTTTTCATTTGATGAACAAAACCCACATTTCATGTTTAACTAAAATAGTTTATTCAAGAATATAGCCGATTTAAAAAATATATTCTGGAATAAAAATAACTGTGATACGTAAGGTATTCTAACTAAATACTGGCTATAGATTGTTCTCCAAGTAGTGAGGCAAAATACTCAAATACCACTTAATTTAAGATAGGTAACCTCCAAAAGAATTCAAGGATCATTTCTGAAAATTTCATTAAATATAACTGAGACTCATTTGGCTTTCTGATATACTCTCAAAATGTGAAAAACAAAACACCGACAAAATAAATACAGCCAAGCTATAGAGAGTTACAGAATATGGATTTCAGAATCAGGTTTGGGTCCTGGCACATACTTGTCCTATGCCTCAGTTTCTTTACCCTAAAAGAAAGGGATAACAGCACCCAACCCAAGGGCAGAGGCATCAATTAGGCATAAATCAGGGTAACACATTGCCTATTATGCCTAGATAGCAGGGACAGTTCAGGAGGAGTAGGTTGGTGATTTCATTTGTAAATTTCCTGCCATTTCCTTAATCTCACAACTGTCAGCTGAGGACAGTGCAGAAGCAGGAACATACTTTGGTCATCAATGAAAAATAAAATTTATTGTAAAAGAAAATAACCCAGAATTAAAAATACACCCAAGGGGCTGGGTGCAGTGGCTCCCGCCTGTAGTCCCACCATTTTGGGAGGCCGAGGCAGGTGGATCACAAGGTCAGGATATCAAGACCATCCTGGCTAACATGGTGAAACCCCGTCTCTACTAAAAATACCAAAAAATTTAGCCAGGCGTGGTGGCACATGCCTGTAGTCCCAGCTACTTGGGAGGCTGAGGCAGAAAAATCTCTTGAACTCAGGAGGTGGCGGTTGCAGTGAGCCGAGATTGCACCACTGCACTCCAGCCTGGCCGATGGAGCAAGAATCTGTCTCAAAGAAAATCAAACAATCAAACAAACACCCAAGGTAAGTAGCCTACGCACGAATCTGACAACTGGCCTATTTGAAAATGCCTTTCCCCACATATTTTTGTTCATATATTTAATGTCTTCTGAAAGCATTCCCATTAACCCAAGAAGTTAAACTACAGGAAGTAACTTTCAGTTCACTGTATTTGGAAGTGGGACAACTAACTGCTGAGTTACTGAGGGCTGAATAGCTGGGAAATTTAAAAAATCATTTTAATCCTATTTTGCAACTAAATAGGGAGCAAGTAAGTAAGGGATGAGAGCAACTACCATTTGTACAGCACAAATTATATGGCAGGCACTATTTCATATAATTGCTCTCATGTTATTTTATATATGAAACCTCTACATATCTTGTGAAGTACCTGCATTATCACCATTTAGCAGATCAGAAAATTGAGGCTCAGAGTGGTTATTTTTTGCCCAAAGTCAAAAGTAAGTGGCAAAGCCAGAAAATGAATCTGGTTCTTTTTGTTTCCAAAGCCCTTGCAGTTTTTTAAATATCCCAGCCCTATGAAGGCCACATTACCTTCCCTTATTGTTAGCCCAGATGACGCTAGGAAAGCAGTCCGTGGGACAAACCCCACTCCTCACTTATCCAAACTGCAGTGTCAGTGTCTGACTTCCTTTCAACAATTTACATCCACAGTATACGATGTGTCTCAAGTCTGCCTGTGAATTAACAATGTGGTTTCTGGCACCATCTAGCTAGTATTAGCACTCCATTACATTAATAATTAATAATAAATGGAACACTGGGAATGTTGAGTGTCACTTTAATCTCTGTGGGTTAGGTGTTTTTGGTTACTGCTATGTGCATGCACAGTTAGGCCATGCGTCACCGCATATTACTGGGTAAATGGTCACTGTCACAACATGCTCTAGATAAACATAAAAGACCTCTGAGGAACAGGCCAATTTGAAACTGGGAATTCTAGCAAATTATATACATGACATTTGCTCCTCTTCCACATCTTATTGCACTGGGTTTTATTTTTACCTTCAGACTTTTAAATTTCCTCTTCCCATAATTATAGACGGGAAAATAAAATACATCCTGTAAATTCACCCATTTCACCACAAAGTTTGAAGACTGCTAAAATACCTTATAATTTGATCAAATGTATCCATGCTAAGTCTAAAATCTTCCCTATTACCTGACCATATAACCACTACCCTTGTGTTTGCATGCAACAATAGCTCCTACAGAATTTTTTTAGGGTACAAAGTACATGCTGGTAGAGTTCAAAATAATTCTTTATCCCTGACCTAACCTCAAATTCTACCATCCAGAAGCCAAAAGGATGTGTGTAATGGGCTGAACTTTTGGGCAAAAAGTTAATTCGCCACATAATTATATTGGGGAACAAACATCTTTGGTCAGAATGGAACTGAGTTTCTCCTGGGCCTGGGCTATAGAGATACGCAAGTTGTTTGCATACACTTATTCTATACATGGGCTCTAGGTGTTTAGAACCACAGTGGAGCCAGGCGCGGTGGCTCACGTCTGTAATCACAGCACTTTGGGAGGCCGAGGTGGGTGGATCACAAGGTCAAGAGATCGAGATGGTGAAACCCTGTCTCTACTAAAAATACAAAAAATTAGCTGGGCATGGTGGTGCGTGCAGCTACTCAGGAGACTGAGGCAGGAGAATTGCCTGAACCCAGGAGGTGGAGGTTGCGGTGAGCCGAGATCGTGCCACTGCACTCCAGCCTGGGTAATGAGCGAAACTCTGTCTTAAAAAAAAAAAAAGGAACCGCAGTGGAGCTAGAGTTAAGAGCAGCACTAATGAACTGCACTTTAACCTGGGAATAATGGACATGTCTTCATCCTGAAAATCAAGCTAGAGACAAATGATTCATTATGTAGTTGCTGACCATACTGAAAATGTGTCTTTTAAGTCAAGGGAGGTCCACTGCCCTTGTTATCATAATGATAACAGATGTTGGCAAGAACATGGAGGAACTGGAACCCTTGTTCACTAGTGGTAGGAATGTAAAATGGTACGGCTGCTACAGAACACTAGGTATAGCTATCACTCAAAAAAATTAAACACAATTACTGTAGGGAGGGAAGGGGACCCACTCCAGCAATTCCACTTCTGGGTACCTACCAAAAACTGAAAGCAAAGTCTTGAAGGGTTATTTGTACACCCGTGTTCACAGCAGCATTATTCACAATGGCCAAAAGGTAGATGTGTCGATACATCGACAGAAGAATGTGGTGTATACATAATGGAATATGATTCGGCTTAAAAGGGATGGATATTCTGACATAGGCTGCAACATGAACCTTGAGGGCATTATGCTAAGTGAAATAAATCAGATACTCTATGATTCCTACAGTATTCAAATTCACAGAGACAGAAAGTGGAATAGTGCATGCCAGGGGTTTGGGGGAAGGGACTGAATGGGGAGTTGTTTCATGGGTACAGATTTCAGTTGGGGAAGATGAAAAGTTCTGATGGTGGTGACAGCAGCACAACAACATGAATGGACTCAATGCCACCGAACCGTACACTTGAAACTAGTTAAAATGGTAAATTTTATGTTGTTTGTATTTTAGCACAATTTTTCAAATTAAAAAAATAGAACCAACTGGCGATTCAACAACTTGGACGAATCTTGAAGGACTTATACAGAGTAAAAAGGGGTGATTCCAAAAGGTTTATACTATATAATTCCATTTTTATCACATTCTTAAAATAGCAAAACCATACAAATGGAGAAAAGGTTAGTGGTTCTCAGGGCTTGGGAGGGAAGGGGAGATAAAGGTTATGACTATAAAAAGGCAAGAGGAAGAGAAATCCCTTACAGTGATGGTGATGGACATGTTCTGTATCAAGGGCAGTATCCTGTTGTGACATTGTACTGTAGTTTTGTAAGACGTTACATTTGGGGAAAATTAAGCAAAGAATATATAGGATCTCACTGTTAAGTTTTGTTTCTTCTTCTTCTTCTTCTTTTTTTTTTTTGAGACCGGGTCTTGCTGTGTTGCCCAGGTTGGAGCACAGTGACACGATCTTGGCTCACTGCAACCTCTCCCTCCCAGGTTCAAGTGATTGTCCTGCCTCAGCCTCCCGAGCAGCTGGGATTACAGGTGTGCACTACCACACCAGGTAATTTCTGTGTTTTTAGTAGAGACGGGGTTTCACCATGTTGGTCAGGCTGGTCTCCAACTCTTGACCTCAAGAGATCCACCATCCTCAGCCTCCCAAAGTGCAGGGATTAATGGCATTAGCCACCGCGCCCAGCCCTGTTTAGTTTCTTAACAACTGCATGTAAATCTAAAATTCTGGTCAGGCAGTGGCTCATGCCTGTAACACTACCACTTTGGAAGGCCTGTAATACCACCACTCTGGAAGTGGCTCATGCCTACCACCACTTTGGAAGGCCAAGGTGGGCAGATCACTTGAGGTCAGGAGTTTGAGACCAGCCTGGCCAACCTGGTGAAACCCTGTCTCTACTAAAAATACAAAAATTAGCTGGGTGTGGTTGTGCATGCCTGTAGTCTCAGCTACTCAGGAGGCTCAGGCAGGAGAATCGACTGAGCCCGGGAGGTGGAGGTTGCAGTGAGCCGAGATCATGCCACTCCACTCCAGCCTGGGAAACAGAGAAAGATTCCATCTCAAAAAAAGAATACTAAAATAAAATCTTCTCCAAATAAAAGCCAAATAATGTATATTTTGAATTGAGACATTTGAGGGGTTTCTATGACTGGTCTAAGATTATCAGTTTAAAATACTGAGGCACTCATACAAGCTAGAAATCCTGGACATACACATCTGTGTTAAAGAAAATTATGTAAAGTCCTAAAAGAAGCCCATTCTAGGCCGGCCACCCACCTCAGCCTCCCAAAGTGCTGGGATCACAGGTGTTAGCCACTACACCTGGTCCAAACTTGTTTTATTTTTAAAGAAAGGGTATCACTTTGTTGCTTAGGCTGGGGTACAGTAGCATGATCATAGCTCACTCCAGCTTCAATCTTGTGAGCTCCAGTGATCCTCCCACCTCAGCCTCCTAAGTAGCTGGGGCTACAGGTGCATGCTCTGCAAATTTTAAAATTCTTTTGTAGACACAGGATGGGTCTCTCCCTGTTACCCAAGCTGGTCTCAAGCTCCTGGCCTCAAGCAACCCTCAATCTTTGGCCTCCCAAAGTGCTAGGATTACAGACATAAGTCTACAAACTCTTAAGAGGTAATGGGATCTTCCCAGGTGTATATTAATGACAGAGGTCCTTGGAGTGATGAAAAAGACTGGATCCTGCTGACCACTGGTCGGGCTTCAGAACATCTGTAACAACATTCTGAGGGTATGATCCAGAAGGTTTCATATCCAGGCATGTCTCTCAGAGATGCTCAGGGATCTTTAACAACTATTCCCTATCCCACCTAACCTTAAGCATGTTGTTTCCTCTGCCCTTCCCTGACAAGGTAAGCCTCTGGCAGCTATGGCTAAGTGGTTCCCCTACTGCAGAACAGAGAGCTCAGCCAGGTGATGGGACTGCCAATCAAAGTCCACATGAGATGAACTGGAGGGAATTTTTTCCAGCCTTTGGTGTATGTGCAAATCTACCTGCAGGACTTAGCAAAACAGCAATGAAGACATTTCATTTATCTGGGCCCTTACTTGGGGGAGTTCTGTGGTTATAATTACAGACAGCCACCCTAGGAAGTCTTACATTCCTATTCATTTCTGTAATTAAATTAATTTTAATCCCTTCCTATTTTATTCACCAAGGATTTATAGGATGCTAATAATTTTCTCCCAGCTACTCTCTTCTTATCCAAATTCTTGTAACGTAAGGATAACAAGTTAACCACAGAGTTTGAACTGAATGCCTATGGCTGTTTCTGGATAAGAATCCTAAGGGAGGCCAGGCATGGTGGCTCACACCTATAATCCAAGCACTTTGGGAGACCGAGGTGGGAGGATCACCTGAGGTCAGGTGGTCAGGAGACCAGCCTGGCCAACATGGTGAAATCCCAGCTCTATTAAAAACACAAAACATTAGCTGGGTGTGGTGATGCATGCCTGTAATCCCAGCTACTGGGGAGGCTGAGGCAGGAGAATCACTTGAACCTGGGAGGCGGAGGTTGCAGTGAGCCGAGATCACACCACTGCACTTCAGCCTGGGGGTCAGAGTGAGGACTCCATCTCAAAAAAGGAATTCTAAGGGAATACAGAGGAATTTCCTTTAAAAGTTCCTACTTACACATTTTACAAGCCTAATGTTGGCTGAAAAGTAGAGTTCTTTCCAGGCACAACACCAGGTTTTCCCATGGAAGTCTCTTTCTACTCCTGCTTATTCATTTTTCATACTGTGTAAATGGCCAAGAATAATCAAAAGGACAGGTTCTTTGAATCTCTAACTTAAATTCCATTGTTGTAGTCCTCATCAATGAGCTTCTAACCAAAGCCCAATTTCATCTCATACCCCAATTTTTTTATCTTTCCAAAGAAGTGTCTCCTGGAGGTCAGACACCTCTTTTGTCATGGTGTCTATTTTCTGCTGCATGCGCTGCTTCTCCTGCAGAGGAAGAGGGGAAGAGAAGTAATAAAAGAGCAGAAAGAAAAGGGAGGGGGTTTGAGGAAAGAAATAAAAATAAAGCCGATAAAGAAACTTAACCAAAAGGGAAAGTCTGTGATGAACAGGAAAAGCAAAGTTGGTTTGCCAAAAGAAAAGATGACATTCACAGTCTTGGCCACATGATTCCCACTGGCTTGCCCCTACAAAAGTAAGCAAAGGAACCAGGAATAACTGTTCCAACCACAGCTATGTGGCAGCAGACCAGCTAGATTTTCTGTGTACATACAGCTCCATATGTGTATTCATGCTGTGATAACTGCCTTTTTTCAAACAAGAATTTACATTCCTAGAGAGGGAAATTTAGGTTTGCTTATGAACAAATGATCTTTTATCTTAGAGAACAAGCAGTAGTTTTGAATTTTATTTTATTTTTTGAGACAGAGTCTCGCTCTGTTGCCTAGGTTGGAGTGCAGTGGTGCAATCTTGGCTCACTGCAACCTCCACCTCCTGGGTTCAAGTGATTCTCCTGTCTCAGCCTCCTGAGTAGCTGGGATTACAGGCATGCGCCACCATGCCCAGCTAATTTTTGTATTTTTTAGTAGAAACATGGTTTCACCACGTTGGTCAGGCTGGTCTCAAACTCCCGACCTTGTGATCCACCCGCCTCGGCCTCCCAAAGTGCTGGGATTACAGGCGTGAGCCACCGCGCCCGGCTTGTTATTTTTTAAGCAGAATTGATCATTTTGAATTTCTGTTAGCAAAATCTATGATAGCAAGAACACCATGAATTTGGTATTATTTTAAAATTATTTATATTATTTTAAAGCATTTAAAATTGGCATTTAGCAATCTGCAAATGGCCTTTCCAATTAAGCAATGGTGCTTAACAGGTTTTCTTCTTATGCATTATTGGTAAATTACCATCTCCTACTTTCCCTACTCATACATTAGGTACTTTACCATGGACTTTTCAATTCCGAAGACCAAAAAGCATTATTTGTAATATTTAAAGTTTTTCAGCATAACCATATATACTAACATCTAAAAAATGTTAATTCTAAATGTAAAAAACCTCTCAAACTAGTTTTCAAACTTTGTATGCCTAGCATCTAAGCTAACGCAGCCACAGTGATGAACTATAGAAATCAAGCATTATATCCTTCTTAAACGCAATTACAACGAAAAACTAGAACACTTTACCGGTCCTAACTTAAGCTATTGCATTTGAGAAGCAGCCCCCAAAGCAGGCTTATTTTATAAAATCATAAAAGTGGTAAATTATATGTTTTAATTAGAAAAAGAAATAAGAAGTGGTTGGCATTTTGGCACAAAAAGATTTAGGAACAAAAAGGGAAAGAATTTCACATTATTTTAAAATGCCAGCAGGATGCAGATTCTGGAAAATATGCTTCCTACCTCATATGGAGAAAAACTAAGAAAATTAACTTCACATGTAATCCTTTTTGGATAGATCCAAAAGGCTATCTGTATCTGCACTTGAAATCCACAAATTCTGGGTATGTTCAGTTATTCTTAATAATGACAAAACACCAATCTTCCAAATTTAAAAAGTCATTTATTTTTCTCTACTAAATGGTTTTTTAAAAGTCATTTGTAGAGAGAGATATTAAGAGGTAGGTCTGAGGGGAAAGAGGAAAAGAGGGAGAGAAAAAGAAAGGCTAGGGTCTGAGTAGCCAGGAGTGTGGACAAGTGTGGTACGTGAGTGACCTCCCCTGGGATCATTAACATCTATGCTTCCTAACATCTCTGGCCCGTCAACACTAAATTAACATTAGAAGCCTTTGAGAGCCACGCCTAGATAGTGGGCAGGATCTCCCCTCAAACTTATTTCCATATTTATGTAAAAGCCTCATCTCAAGAGGGAAAAGCACATTTAAAGAAAGAAGATGCATGCAACGGAGTAGGCCTACAAGGAGGACAAATGCAGTCAAAGATCCTGGTGTTCTGTGCTTCTTTCCATTCCTAAGATGCTGCCAACAATGTGGGCGTCCCTTCGCCTGCAGAAACCTGAACCTTCAGAGCAGCCATTCTTAAGCTTTTTGTACAGAAGGTATCTTGACATTTCTTCTTTTTTCATTTAGCCACCTCAGAATGTATCTACCTGAGTGAAAAATCAAACTTACTCCCCAAGAATCGTGCATTCACTAATTCCAAAGAATAATGTTACTCTCTAATTTTTCCTTTTGTCCATTTCCTACGATATCTTTAAGAAACAGTGTGCTGAGAGGAGTAAGAGTCACAAACATTTCTGCTACCAAGGGGGGTAATGTTTACAGGATTTATAGTATCAATTTTTAAGCATGATCTGGTTTCTGTTTGAAAAATTTTAGTTTACAGTCAAATGTAAAGAGACAAGTAAACCCTTGGATGCATCTTAACGCTCCTTCCCTCCCAAAACACACATCCTCATCCCATCCAACTCATTTTTTTCAAAAGTCAGTATTTCCACGTTCATGTGCGTACCTCAATAAGCTCATCTCTTTGCCGAAGGCCTTCTTTAAGTTCTTCCATCTTATGCTGCAGCACACTACACAGATGTTTCTGCCTTTCCAACTCCTGTTAGTAAACAAATGATATCATTTACACAGGTCATGGCACACAAGAAATCTGAAAACATACAATACAACACACAGGTTAAGTATGACCTTCAGAAACATGCCCAAACTCCTGATTCATAGTAACTTAGGACAATTGTGTAATTATTTATCTGGAAAACCTGAACTAATCAATGGCAAAATTATTATAAACAAAAGATAATTTAGTAAAGTAACAGGTTATAAAATGAACATGTACAATTCAATAACATTCATAGATACAAATAAAAATTTAAAGAAGGAATAACAAATGTAATATCAAAATAAAATCAATATTAAGTCAAATATATATATGTAAACTTACAAGATATATCAAAAACCTATATGAGGAAAATTATAAAAAACATTCCCAAAAGACAGAGAAGTACAACTGAATAAATGGAAAGGCATACCATCTTCTTGGATTAAAAGTCTCACAACATTATAAAAATGTCAGTTCTCCCTAAATTAATCTATAATTTAATGCTGTACAAATAAAAATACCATCAGGTATTTATTTTCTCATCAGAGCAAGGCAAGTTGATTTGAAAGACAAACACAAGAAAAAGTAGCCAGAAAAAGACATGCTGAAAAAGAAGAAAGCCGGCCTTACCAGATCGCAAAACATATTATAAAGTTTCTATAATTAAAACAATGTTGTATGGCACATGAATACAGACCAACAGAGCAGAATAGAAGATTCAGGAAAAGACCCATTTACATATACAAATATATTTAAAAACAACAAAAATAGGAGCATCTCACATCAATGAGAAAAGAAAGACTTTTAAATTTGTAATGTTGGGATAACTGGATATCCATTTGGAAAAAGATAAAATTGGAATCATACCCCACGTCACAGACCAGGATAAATTCCAAATCAATCAGAGGTGCACATAAAGAAAGAAAGTCAGGGTGAATGGGGAAAGAGGGAAGGAAAGGGAGAACAAACTGTACAGGAACTAAAAGAAAAGTAACCAAGGAGTAGAGCAACCTTTACTAAGAAAATTACTCAGAAATCCACAAGCAATGAGGTAAAGGTACAATAAATTAGACTACATAAAAATAAAAACTTTGCTAGGCACAGTGGCTCATGCCTGCAATCCTAGAACTTTGGGACGCCAAGGCAGACAGATCACTTGAGGTCAGGAGTTCGAAACCAGCTTGATCACCATGGCAAAACCCCATCTCTAGTAAAAATTCAAAAAATTAGCTGGGCACGATGGTGTGCACCTGTAATCCCAGATACTCAGGAGGCTGAAGCAGGAGAATCACCTGAACCTGGGAGGTGGAGGTTGCAGTGAGCAGAGATCACTCCAGCCTGGGTGACCAAATGAGACACCATCAAATAAATAAATAAATAACTTTGGGCTGGGCCTAGTGGCTCACGACTGTAATCCCAGCACTCTGGGAGGTGAGGCAGGTGGATCCCTTGAGCCCAAGGATTCAAAACCAGCCTGGGCAACAAAAAAATCCAAAAATTAGCCTGGCTTGGTGACATGTGCCTGTAGTCCCAGGTATTCTGAAGGCTGAGGTGGAAGAATGACCTGAACCTGGGGAGGTCAAGGCTACAGTGAGCCATGATGGTGCCAATGCACTCCAGCCTGGCAACAGATAAGACTCTGTCTCCAAAAAATACATATGCAAATAACTAAAATTTTTGAATGGCAGAGAATCTTTAAAACTACAAAGAAAAAAAGCACTAACTGCACAGAAAAACAAGCTACAGAAATGGACAGTTTACAGAAAAAGAAATGAATAACTCTGAATACGAAAGATACTCATACTAAGAGAAATGGAAACAAACTATTTGTCTCACCAAAACACTAGTAAAAGTTCAAAACCTTGACAACATACTCCAGGATGGAACTATGGGGAAGGAAACTGGCCCTCATACGTTTTGGTGAGCATACAATAGTATAAAGCTTACAGAGGATCTCGGCAGTATCTTGCAAAACTACAAACCTTTCCACACAGCAGTATCACTCTTCACCATAGATACACTGGCCAAAATACAAAAAGACCTATGCAGTATGTTATTTCTGCGGGACTATTTTTAACAGCAAAACATGACAAACTTGAATGTCTATTAATAGGGAACTGGTAGAATAAAGTGTGGTACATCCATACTGTGGAATAATTATGCAGTGGTGAGAAAGAATGAGCAAGATAGCTCTATACTACGTCATCATAAAGTGATAAAATATAGTGCAGAACAGCATTTACAATAGTATGCTACCATTTCCTAAGAAAGGAGAATAATGAATACATATATTTTGAATAAAAATATATATATACACATATATATCTTTTTAGATTAAAAATGGCTACCTAATATATCTTTTGAGATTTGAAAAATGGAAAGATAAACCATTAAATTTTTAAATTCCCTAAAGGAAGGAGAAAACAGGGATAAAGACACAGAGAAAGAAGATTAACTTCTTCAAATATATTTTCTTTGTTAACTTGACTCAAGATCTATAAAACTATTCTACATAATTGTAAAACAAAATTAAATTTAAAAAGCAGTTCCTAGTGGAAACAACTCAAGTGGCCATCGATAGATGAATAGATAAGCAAAATGTAGTATATATACAGTGGAATATTATTCAGCTTTAAAAAAGAGGAAACTCTTGTCACATGCTACAACACGGATGAGCCTTAGGACATTATGCTAAATGAAGTAAGCCAGTCACGAAATGATAAATTATTATATGATTCTACTTACTTATGAATTTGGTACATAGAGTAGCCAAATCCACAGAGACAGAAAGTAGGAGAGCAGCTGCCAAGGGCTGGTGGGAGGGAGAAATGGGGAACTGTTTAATGGGTATAGAGTTTCCATTTTGCAAGACGAAAAATTTCTGGAGATCTAATGCACAATAATAATGTGAATATGCTTCACACTACTGAACTCTTTAAAATGGTTAAGATGATAAATTGTACGGTGTTTTTTAATAACAATTAAAATTTTTTAAATAAAAATTTTAAAAGTAATTCCTAAATATTGAAAATAAAATGCAGTGAATCTACCTATAGATCCAATTAGTAGCACAAAAAGAAACTATTTCAAGCAACTTCTAAAAACAATAGTTTGGCCATACAAGGACTGTAGTAAAAGTAACAGCCAAGCAAAACAAACAAAATAAAAATCTTTTACCTATTTTCAGTAATTAAATTGTTAGTGTTAATGTTGGTATTGTTATTCTAGGTAACTTGGGATAAACCAAAGAGAACAGAACGTAACAGAATTACTATCATCCGTAGAAACCTTGAGAACTAGGAACTGTAGTGTGGGGGAAAAAAAGATACAGATGGAAGACAGAAGACTTATGAACTGGAGGCATGAAATCATAATATATTTCTCATTAAAAACAAAAAACTTCATACATGTTTCCCAAATGTATCCACTGAAAAAAAACCCATAAACAGTGACCAACCTGGTGGCAATGAGCATCTCTAGCACTCACACTAAAAAAGAACTAGGGTGCCTTGTACAAATGCCTGATCCCAGGTTTGGGGCAGAAAATGTACAAGGTAAGACTGGAAAATCTTCTGCCAGAAAGCAAAGAATCTATCAAAAACAATTAGACTCACCAGAAGTACGTGTGAATTGACCTGAAGAGGTTCACATTAGCCAAAGATGGGACAATTTTAGCATCAAAAAGAACAAAAGCTGCAATGCACTGAAGACATCAAATGCTTGAATTTATAAATTCATATTGATATTTTAAGAGAAAAGTAGTTGGTCACTGTAAGAAGACACTCAACCGATTCCTTTTTTGAAAACTCACAAAGGGAGAAAATAATTGCAAATAATATATCTGATGAAATACTTATATCTAGAACATATAAACAACCTTCTAACTCAGTAATAAAAAGACGAAACCCAATTTTAAAATTTGCAAAGGATCTGAATAGACACTTTGCCAAGGAAGATATGCAAATAAGCAATAAGCCCATGAAAATATGCTCAAAATCATTAAGTCACCAGGGAGATGCAAATCAAAACCACAGCTTTTAGGATGGCTGGAATAAAAAGGTCAGATAACAGGTGTTGGTGAGGATGTGGGAGAATCAAACCTGCATACACTACTGGTGTGAGAATATAAAATGGTGCAGGACTTTGGAAAATAGTCTGGCATTGTTTAAATAGTTAAACACAGATTTGTCATGGGAATCAGCAATTCCACTCCCAAGTATATACTTAAGAAAAGGGAACGCACATGTCCAGACAATGTACGGTGGCTCATGCCTATAATTCCAGCACTTTGGGAGGCCAAGGCAGGAGGATTGCTTGGGGCCAGGAGTTACCAGCCTGGGCAACATAGCAAGACCCTGTCTCTTAAGAAAAAAAAAAGTCCATGAAACAACCTGTACACAAATGTTTATAGCAGCATTATTCTTAACAGGAAAAAGTATAAACAACCCAAATGTCCATCAGTGCACAAATGGATAAACAAAATGTAGCATACCCATAAAATGGAATATTAATAAGCTATAAAAGGAATTAAGTATACTGATACAGGGTACAGCATGGATGAACCTTGAAAACATGATGCTAAGTGAAACAGCCAGTCACAAAAGACTATGTATTACATGATTCCATTCATGTGAGTCAGGAATAGGGAACACTATAGATAGAAAGTAGATCAGTGGTTATTACAACTGAGGGGTTTGGGGAAAAGAGGTAATAAAAACATACTGAAAGTAACTGTCATGAAGGTTACACATATATATGAATATACTAAAAACCACTGAATTGTACACTTTAAATGGATGATTTATATAGTATGTAAATGTATCTCAAAAAAGTTGCTTAAAAAGAACATTAAATAAGCCAAGAGCAATGGCTCATACCTGTAATCCCAGCAGTCTGGGTGGTAGCAGATCACCTGAGGTCAGGAGTTTGAGACCAGCCTGACCAACATGGTGAAACCCCGTCTCTACTAAAAACACAAAATTAGCTGGGCATCGTGGTGCATGCCTGTAATCCCAGCTACTCAGAAGGCTGAGGCAGGAGAATCAATTGAACCTGGGAGGCGGAGGTTGCAGTGAGTAAAGATTGCACCATTGCACTCCAGCCTGGGCAACAGGAGCAAAACTCTGTCTCAAAATAAATAAATAACGTTAAATAAATAAACTGGTAATGATAAAATCAGAACATCCCATTTTGCAGCCCTATTCAATTAAAGGATCTAAGCACTCACCTACAGCTTAACAGCTAGCCACACATCTGGACCTCCTGAAGGAAGACAACTGCACCTTCTTTGCAGCAGACTTTCCAAAAAAACTAAAGTTATATTTGATTAAGTCTCTATGCCTTACTACCTATGTACAGAGAATACAGAGGAAAGGGGAACATGGTAAAGACACTATGGGGATGAAAACAGACAACCTGTAAGACTGGGAAATATTAAGCAACCCGGTTTCTTCAACATATAAGGAGAAAAAAGGTGAAAGGAAGAGACTTAAACATTTATCAACTAATTTCAAGGTGTGAAACTTATCTAGATCCTGACTTTTTTAAGTGTAAAAAAGAAAAATCATTTATGGCATTTTGAAACTGCTAAAATTTTAACACTGACTGAATATGTAATATGAATTATTGTTAATTTTACAGGGGTGAAATGGTCTTTTGATTATGCTTTAAAAGAGAAACAATGGGCTAAAAGCAGGGGCTTGTGTCTGTAATCACAACACTTTGGGAGGCCAAAGAAGGAAGACTGCTTGAAGTCATGAGTTCAAGACCAGCCTGGGCAATACAGCAAGGCCTCATCTCCACAAAAAGATTTTTAAAAAACAGCCAGGTGTGGTGGCATGTGCCTACAGTTCTAGCTACTCAGGATCGCTTGAGCATAGGAGATCAAAGTGAGCTATGACTGTGCCACTGTACTCCAGCCTGGGGAGCACAGCAAGACACTGTCTGTAAAAATAATAAAATAAAATAAAAATATAAAACAAAATAGTTACTGTAATTCCAAGAGGCACTAAAGACATTTAGAAAAATTTTATTAATACTGCATAATTATTATTGAACGGTCCTTCTCTACTCTCACTATCTGCTTCTGTAAGGAAATACACCAGAGTGCCTGACCTCTTTGTTTATCTCTGAATATTAACATTCTACTGTACAAAGCAATAGTTATTTAGAACGAGAGAGCTTGGAGTAAAGCTATGTTAGAAAGAGATACTGTCGACCATCCTGGTCAACATGGTGAAACCCCGTCTCTACTAAAAATACAAAAATTAGCTGGGCATGGTGGCGTGTACCTGTAATCCCAGCTACTCAGGAGGCTGAGGCAGGAGAATTGCCTGAACCCAGGAGGCGGAGTCTGCAGTGAGCCGAGATCACGCCACTGCACTCCAGCCTGGGTAACAAGAGCGAAACTCCATCTCAAAAAAAAAAAAAGAGATACTGTCACAAAATCTTCTGCAACATGGTATGTGAAGCAAATTTCCAGGGTATTAAAAAAATTTAATAAATTTTAGGTTTCAAAAATATAAGAAGGCCCATCACGGTGGCTCACAACTGTAATCCCAGTACTGTGGGAAGCTGAGGTGGGGAGATTGCTTGAGCCCAGGAGTTGGAGACCAGCCTGGGCAACACAGTGAAACCCTGATTCTATAAAAAAAATTTTTTTAATTAGCCAGGCATGGTGGTACATGCCTTTAGTCCCAGCTACTGGGAAGACTGAGGTGAGAGGATCACTTGAGCCTGGAGACAGAGGTTGCAACGAGCTATACTCCTGCCACTCCACTCTAGCCTGGGCTACAGAGTGAGACCTTGTCTCCAAAAAAACATACAAGATTAAGAAAACAAAAACTATGCATACTAAAAAAACTATTACCTTCTAAAATAATCCAGAGAAAAACTAAATTGGTTAAAATAGCTAATTATAAGGGTTTTCTTCATTTTAAAAAATGCCCAAGTGTATTTGAGATGATGGAAAGATAATTCATTTTAGTACTGACCATTATATACTTAGCATGAGATCTTACTTTAGTCTGATAGAGGCAAAGAGCCAAAAATAGATATTAAAAGATGTGTGGGACGGCAAAAAAAAGGAGTCCATGGGCCTCTAGGAAAAGCATGATGGCTCAGAATCTCCAAAAATGGCCTATAGGGTTTACAAGAAGAATCAAAGAGGAAACCACCTTTTGTCAGCACATAATGCTCTTCCACAGGCCACTGTCAGTCCAATATGAAAACAACCAGAAGCCTCTTCTTCACCATCTAAATAACAGTCCTAAATAATTTTAGAGCAGTTTTAGATTCACAGCAAAATTATGTTGAAAGTACAGAGAGTTTTCATATGCTCCCTGTCCCCATACATGCACAATCTACCCTAATATAAACATCCCACACTAGAGTGGTATATTTCATTCTATCAGTGAACCTACATTGACAGATCACTGTCACCCAAAGTCCAGAGATTACCTTAGGGTTCACTCCTCGTGGGGTACATTCTATGGTTTTGGATTAATGTATCAATTCATGCATCCATAATAACATGTATCCACCATTATAATATGATACAGAATAGTATCACTGGCCTAAAAATCCTTTGTGCTCTGGTCTATTCATCCCTCTCTCCTCCAAACACCTGGCTAACACTTTTTGAATGTGACCAAAACAGGCCGGAATGGGCATTTCTAGCCCTCAAGGGAAGAAATTCCTATAAAGACGATGGCAGTAATGCTGGTCTCTTGGAGATTATATAAACAGCTTCTCTCCCTTTGTTTTGTGCAAATTCAGATTGTTGTCTCTAATAATTTATCAATACATATTTCCTAAAGTATTTTCTGGATTTTTTTATATTAGCAATGTAGTAGCAATCCATTTATGGTAATAATATCCGTTTGACCTCTGCTTGAACTAACATCAACACTGTAAAAAGTCTGAAACATATGCTTTTAAAAGATCCCAATTTGTTTTCTGCAGTTGTCAAAGAGCAAATCCTGGTCTTGGGCAATGAGTTCTATTCTCCATCTGCACATTTTAACATTATAGCTTATAAACCTCTAAGGAAAACATCTTTCGATTTCTGACCCACATCTCCAAATTGCTGATTTAAAATAACCGATTAAAGACATCTATCCAATTATTTAGAAAATGAATTCTCTTGAACCGTTCAGAAGTTCATAGAAAAGAATGAATCATTTTGTTGAGAGTCTTTGGAACTTTGCGTGAGTTCCAGCAACTTATAACTGGAAGAAGTAAGTAACTCACCGTAACTGACCCGATTAAGAGACAGAAAACGAAGATAAAACTTTACTTCTATTCTATTTTCAGAAACTTAACAGAAGACATAAGCTTTTCCTTAGGAAAATAATTTTTGAAAAATAGAAAAGGAAAATATGTCAGGGCCTGAAACCTCATGGTGTTCTTTCAATTTCCTTGGGCCACTCAGTTTTGACTGAAACATCATTCCTAAGTAAGTATGCCACAATATTCCATCACTTTATAAGTGGCAGGCTTTTATTTTCTGTCCCACGAGAAAATATCAGATAATATTTTACGTTACCTTTGATTTTTCTTCATTTTCTCTATAAAATTCCGCCATCTGTTCCTCCTGCTCTTCGATAACATCCTTGAGTGTATCTACCTGGTAGATCAAATTGTTCTTCTCATTGTCTAACTGTGCATTGGAAACCATGGCCTTCTTGTATTTTTCTTCCACTTCAGACAAAGATTCCTAAATGAGAGTTGAAGTCATCAGTCTGATATCTAAAATATGCTAATTGTATATGCAATATAACAGGAAATAACAGCACTGCCACAAACACATAAAGATGCATTTTCATAAAATACAAGTGGTTTGGGGAACTCCCTGTTTAGTAACATGCACATGAAACAGGAAGACAATAAGCCGATAATGCCTGTATAAAAACAATATGTGCTCTCTGTTCCCCAAGAAAACAAAATTAAGCAGCAATATGGCCTCTGAGGGATGAAAGAAGTACAAACAACGTATATCTGTAAGTCATTCAATGAATCAATATTTTCAGAGATTTTACTCTTACAGTTTTGATAACAAACTGGTGGTGTTCGGAATGCAGTGAGACCCCAGAATATGGCCTCTCTTTACATAAGTGCACTTCATACTCATTTGAATTTTGCCACTTTCTAGACAATCGTTTCCAGTACTTTCCTGTTCTGCATAAAAATGCCGATATAAAGGTAAATATTTTTTTCCCAGCAATTACCCACATTTCAGTCATGTTTAAATAAGCAATACAAAAATGTGTATTTTAAAAAAAGCTTGGCCACGCACAGTGTTTCATGTCTGCAATCCCAGTACTTTAGGAGGCCAAGGTGGGTAGATCTTGGGCCCTGAAGCTCAAGACAAGCCTGGGCAACATGACAAAACCCTGTCTCCACAAGAAAATACAAAAATTAGCCAGACGCGGAGGCCCACCTGTAGTCCTAGCTACTTGGGATGCTGAGGTGAGAACACTGATTGAGCCCAGGAGGTCAGGGTTGCAGTGAGCAGTGACTGTGCCACTGCACTCCAGCCTGTGTAACAGAGCGAGACCCTATCTCTACCAATCAATAATTAAAATAAAGAGCTTGATCTAGAGCTACAGTTTTGAAGTTAAAAAAAAGAAAAAAAGGCACCACAAAATGCCTGAAATGTTATATACCTCAAATTTTTCTGCCTGAGAAAACTTACACGTTTGTGTGTGTGTGTGTGTGTGTGTGTGTGTGTAACTGTATCTAATTTGGTAATTACTATTGCTTAGTGACTTTTTTAAAGCTAAAAAGAAGGTTTCAGATAGGAAAAGTAATCATTTATGGAAATAAATTTTTAAAATACTGGTGCAAATGTTTATCAATGAAATGGAATTAAGAGCCCAGAACTCTCACATTTAAAATCAGTTAATTTTGGACAAAGGGTTCCATATAACTCAATGGGAAAAGAATAAATGGTATTGGGACAAGCATGGGTACCCACGAACAAAAGAATGAAGTTGGACTCCTACCTCATACCACACACAAAAATTAACTCAACATGAGCCAGGATCTAAATGTGAGAGCTAAAACAATAAAATGCTTCAAAGAAAATATAGATAAATCTTCATGACCTTGGGATAGGCAATGGTTTCTTAGATACACCAAAAGCACTATAAACCAGCGGAGTGTATGTAATCCTAGCAGGCTGAGAAGCCAAGGCAGGCAGATCACTTGAGGTCAGGAGTTCCAGACCAGCCTGACCAACATGGTGAAACCCTATCTTTACTAAAAATACAAAAATTAGCAGGGCATGGTGGTGGGTGCCTGTAATCACAGGTATTCAGGAGGCTGAGTCAGGATAATTGCTTGAACCCATGAGGCAGAGGCTATAGTGAGCTGAGATCATGCCACTGCACCCCAGCCTGGGTAACAGAGTGAGATCCTGTCTCAAAAACAAACAAAAAGCACTATAAACCATAAAAAGATAAGACTTTGTCCAAATGTAAATCTTTTCTTTTCTGGGCACCGTGACTCATGCCTGTAATCCCAGCACTTTGGGAGGCTAAGGCGGGCGGATCACGAGGTCAGTTAGTTCGAGACCAGCCTGGTCAACATTGTGAAGCCTTGTCTCTGCTAAAAATAAAAAAACATTAGCCAGATGTGGTGGTACGCACCTGTAATCCCAGCTACTTGGGAGGCTGAGGCAGGAGAATCGCACCATCACACTCCAGCCTGGGTGACAGTGCGAGACTCAGTCTCAAAAAACTTTTTTTTTCTCAGCTCACTGCAACCTCCACCTCCTGGGTTCACATAGTTCTCCTGCCTCAGGCTCCTGAGCAGCTTCGATGACAGGCACATATCACTACACCTGGCTACTTTTTTGTGTTTTTAGTAGAGATGAGGTTTCACTAAGTTGGCCAGACTGGTCTCAAACTCCTGACCTTATGATCTGTCCACCTCAGTCTCCCAAAGTACTAGGATTACAGGTATAAGCCACTTCACCTGGCCCAAATGTAAAACTTTAATGCTGCAAATGATATAATCAAAAAAGTAAAAAGACAACCCATAGAATGGGAGAAAATATTTATCAATCTTATATCTGATAAGAGACTTATACGCAGAATAATATATATACAACTCTTACAACTCAACAATAAAGGACACATAAATTAATTTAAAAATGGGCAAGGACCTGAATAGATATTTCTCCAAAGAGGATATACAAATGACAAATAAGCACAGGAAAACATGCTCGGCGTCATTAGTCATTAGGAAAATGCACATCAAAATCACAATAAGATACCACTTCACATTCACTAGGATGGCTATAATCTATAGCAAAAAATACAGAAGACAAGTGTGAGTAAGGATGTGGAGAAACTAGATCTCCTATATATTGCTGGTAGGAACATAAAATGGTGCAGCTACTTTGGAAAACACTTTGACAGTTCCTCAAAATGTTAAACATAGCGTTACCATATGACCCAGCAAACTACCAGAGAGAATTGAAAAGATATGTCTGGCCGGGCGCAGTGGCTCACGCCTATAATCCCAGCACTTTGGGAGGCCAAGGCGGGTGGATCATGAGGTCAAGAGATCGAGACCATCCTGGCCAACAAGGTGAAACCCCGTCTCTACTAAAAATACAAAAATTAGCTGGGCATGGTTGTCCATGCCTGTAGTCCCAGCTACTCGGGAGGCTGAGGCAGGAGAATTGCTTGAACCCAGAAGGCGGAGGTTGCGGTGAGCCAAGATCATGCCATTGCATTCCAGTCTGGGTAACAACAGCGAAACTCCGTCTCAAAAAAAAAAAAGAAAAGATACGTCTACACAAAAACTTGTACACAAATGTTCACAGCAGCATTACTCATAATAGCCAAAAAAGAATAAACAACCCTAATGCCTATCAACCGACTAATGTATTAACAAAATGCAGCAAACCCATGTAGTGGAATACTATCCAGCCATTAAAAAAAGACTGACAGTTATTATGACATAGGTGAATATTGAATATATTATGCTAAATGAAAGCCAACCACAAAACATCACATATTGTATGACTCCATCTGTATGAAATCTCCAGAAGAGGTGAATCTCTAGAGACACAAAGTTAGTGATTGGGTTTCTTTTCTGGGTGATGAAAATGTTCTACAGATGAGTTGTGGTGCTAGTTGCACAACTCTGTGAGTATGCTAAAAAAAACCACTGAATTAAAATTTTAAGTAAATTTTTATGGAATTTGAATTATATCTAAATAAAAATACACACACACACACACACACACACACACACACACACACACTTTTTTTTTTTTTTTTTTTTTGAGACAGGGTCTCATTCTGTTGCCCAGGCTGGAACCTCCCCAGACTCAGGTGATTCTCCCACGTCAGCCTCCTGGGTAGCTGGGACCACAGGCACGTGATATCACACCTGGCTAATTTTTTTTGTAGAGACAAGGTTTCACCAAGTTGCCCAGGCTGATCTCAAACTCCTAGGCTCAAGCTATCCACCTTACCTTGACCTCAGAAAGTGAATTACAGGTAGGAGCCACCATGCCTGGCCACACACACTTTTAATTATGCTTCATAAACCAGAATTGAGTTGTCAGGCAAGATTTAAACTAGGATTAGAAACAAATTTGTTTGTTTGTTTTTTGAGATGGAGTCTCACTCTGTTGCCCAGGCCAGAGTGCAGTGGCGTGATCTCAGCTCACTGTAACCTCTGCCTCCAGGATTCAAGTGATTCTTCTGCCTCAGCCTCCTGAGTGGCTAGGATTACAGACATTGCAACACCATGCCCAACTTATTTTTTTATTTTTAGTAGAGACGGGGTTTGATCATGCTGGTCTCAAACTCTTGACCTCATGATCTGCGTGCCTCAGCCTCCCAAAGTACTGGGATTACAGGCATGAGCCACTGCACCCAGCCTAGAAATAAATTTAACCAAAACAAAGAATATAAGCAGAGTCAATTATATGGTGCTCTAAATATATCTAAATGTAGCTTACTATAATGCAGACTTTAGAATAATTATCCATCTGAGAGGGTAATAGCAGAAAAAAGGTCTCATCACAACTCAGTCCCACATGAAACCACATGAACACCAGAATTTAAGATAGCCCAAGTACTAGATGCATGCACAAAATATGTAACACAATAAATAAGACATAAAATGTATGCAATGTCATCTTCCTTTAAACAGTAGACCACAAAAGACTGTTTTAAATGGAAGTGTCAAAGTATTTTAGTGATCTTAATCTTATTCACAGAGTGATACCCGTTTGAAATTGGTTTTACTTAAATGCTTTTTATTTATTTAGAGACGGAGTCTCACTGTGTCACCTGGCCTGGAGTGCAGTGGTGCAATCTCGGCTCACCACAACCTCAGCCTCCCAGGTTCAAGCGATTCTCCTATCTCAGCCTCCTGAGAAGTTGAGATTATAGGCTCCTACCACCTAATTTTTATATTTTTAGTAGAGATAGGGTTTCACCATGTTGGCCAGGCTGGTCTCGACCTCCTGACCTCAGGTGATCCCAGCACTTTGGGAGGCCCAGGTGGGCAGATCACGAGGTCAGGAGATCAAGACCATCTTGGCCAGCACAATGAAACTCCATCTCTACTAAAAATATAAAAAATTAGCCAGGTGTGGTGGTATGAGCCTTTAGTTCCATCTACTTGGGAGGATAAGGCAGAATTGCTTGAACCCAAGAGGCAGAGGTTGCAGTGAGCTGAGATTGCGCCACTGCACTCTAGCCTGGGTGACAGAGTAAGACTCTGTCTCAAAAAAAAAAAAAAACATTGGCTAGGCATGGTGGCTTACATCTGTAATCCCAGCAGTCTGGGAGGCAGAGTGGGAGGACTGCTTGAGCCCAGGAGTTGTAGACCAGCCTGAGCAACATGGTGAGACCCTGTTTAAAAAAAAAAAAAATTTTTTTTTAAAGAACAGCACTTTCTAGAAGGCCTTAATTAAACTTAAAACCAATAAAATTGAGGCAAGTGCATATTTCGGACCCATATATGAACTATATATTCATATGTGATACCATCTATATATAAATGTTCTATAGCTTTCCTTTTTTCAATATTATCTTGGAAAGCTTTCGGTCACTATAGATTTACTATTGTTATTTATTGCTATAACTCTCTACTTAAATTTAATAAGGTATTAATTTTAATAGTTTTTAAAATGGGTTAATGGGTTTAATCCTTTGATTTACAGAATCATTAATCTTTTATGAAATAGATCACTTACATTTTACAATTAATATTTTACTACATTTTCTGGGTAATAGTACACACTATATACTAGTACACCATGGGCAAATACTGTATTAGCAATAATAATCAACCTTCCTGATATAAGGAAGGGCAGAGGGGAGAGTGGCTGAGAGCATCCTAAAGGCAAACATAACAAGAGTAATGTCACAAGCAGTAAGCCAACATCCTTCTTCAATAGGATACATCACACCACCATGCTTGGTCACCAATCAGACAATTTTTCTTTATTTTTGTGGTGTTTTTTCCACTTCAAAGAGTCAAGGATAAATGTAATCTGAAGTCTAGTTCAATTATACTCTGACATAAATTAGAAAAAGGGATCTCCTCTGTTCGAATCTCAAATCTAATCTGTTTTTTTGTATTTTTCAAAGAATGCAATAAATGGTAGCTCTAACATGTAAGGAAGAAATGCTTTAAATAAAGTAAAATGGCAGTAAGAATGCCCCTGAATCGCATGACTGCTTCCCTGATACACTGTTACACATGTGACTTCAATATAAGCATATTAATTCAATGTACCAGATTTGTTTGATCCAAGATATTTCTAAAAGTTGCATCTCTAAAATCTTAAAAGAGAGATCAAATTCTAAAGATTAAAGAAGTAAGATTAAATGAGAACATCAACTAATTCTGTAATTCTTCTGATGTTTACTGAAAAATGCATGCTGCTCTATCAGCAACTTTCAGACTTCCCTCATGGGCACTTCCCATTGGAGGTCTCACCTTTGTTGGTCCTAAGTCTTACTCTGTTTCTCATGGACCATACCACTTGCATGAAGGGGTACGATAGCTGGGCTACTTCAAATCATGCCATGGAGCATGACAAAAGCCTTGCCCATGAAATCCATGCTTTGTCCTTTGGATATATCCCGAGTCATCTTTCTGATTGTCTTGCTTTTTGCTTTTTTAGAGGTGTAGTGTGTATTTTGCTTTTTTGTTTCTGTGTGTGTTTGTTTTGAGACAAAGTCTAGCTCTGTCACCCAGGCTGGAGTACAAAAGCATGACCTCAGCTCACTGCAACCTCCACCTTCCTGGTTCAAGCAATTCTTCTGCCTTAGCCTCTCAAGTAGTTGGAATTACAGGCACCTGCCACCATGCCCAGTGAATTTTTTTTATTTTTAGTAGAGACCGGATCTTGCCATGTTTGCCGGGCTGGTCTTGAACTCCTGACCACAGGTGATCCACCCACCTGGGCCTCCCAAAGCGCTGGGATTACAGGCATGAGCCACTGCGCCTGGCGTGCAGTGTGTATTTTGATTTCAAATCAGGACATACATGTGCTGAAATAAACTTTTGGCTTCTTCATAATAGGAGGCTTGAACTTCAGAATGAAACATAAGAGAAAGAAGAGCATGATAACCAAATGCTATTTACAACCAAACTGTCTGCCTCACACATTTATACAGAAAAACGTTAGTCATCCTTTCTGGGAAAAGATAAAGACCATTTAAATTTACCTCCAAATTCTTTAAGGCACTAGATCTGTGTCATGCCTTTTGACCTATAGTTTAAGAAAATCCCAGCCAAAATAAAATACAGGCCTTATGCCTTCAGGTTCCTTCCTCCAGGGGGCATATTTATAATAATGATGTCTCAGTTGCTACTTCCTCCCACATTTAATACTGACAATTTGGTAACAGAAATATGCAACATTTTTTCATTTAGCATGGAAGAATTTTGAGGTCCAATTCTCAATAAAAATATTCTTAGTATTTTTTTAGGTGTTTGCCCAATTTAATGTTGTATGGCTAAGACACAAGGGATATGCATGTATTTTTACAAGGTTTTAAAACTGTAAAGGAGGCTGGGCACGATGGCTCACACTTGTAATCCCAGAACTTTGGGAGGCCAAGCCAGGAGAATGGCTTGAGGCCAGGAGTTCGAGACCAGCCTAGGCAACATAGTGAGACCCTGTCTCTATAAGAAAAATAAATTTTAAAAAACCTATAAGGATATCTTCTGCTGAATATTCAAAAACTGTATTACACATTTAAACAGAAGCAGAGATTGGAAAGTTCACCATTCCTATGCACTGCAGGTTAAGCACATGCTTGAAAGACAAACACTGTTAGTACAGCTATGTGCAGTAGGTTAACAGAACTTGCAAAGCCATCGTTGCCAACACTTGTGCATACAGCGCATGCTTGGGCTGCAGAAGAGGCCCTGATACCTTTAGTTCCTTAAGGCCCTGCATGTATCTCCCTTCTACATCCTGTATCTGGTCCTTAAGGTCATAGAGATCCTGCAGGACATAGGAATGAACCATCGCATAAAACCATGCACAAACAGATCTTAAATCACAAAGGATTCAGATGAAACATGACTCACTTTTGTATATTCCAGACTAAAAGCAGAGAAATCAAAATACGAAAACATAACTCCCACTCCTAACCACTGAAAGGGGCAAACAGGTCAGGGGATAGTGGGACTGGGGAAGGTCTAGAGTAATCAATCTAAAGTTAAATATTTTCTTGGCATTAAAATCTGTTGATAACAGCATAGCAAATGGAGACAGGGCTCTACATAAGGGAAAAAGCTATATAAATTATAATACTTAAAAATCTTACCATTTAAAATATTTTATAAATCATTTTAAATTTTTTAGTATAATGCTTCACCTAGAACTAGTAAAATATACAGTAAATTAGTAAGAGGCAGAAAATTTTAATGATTCATACACGAGTTTTTAAAAATATAATAAATGAACATGAACAAAGTTTTCTTTCAATGACTTGGTTACCGGCCACAATTAACTAGAGAGAGAGGGAGTAAAGGGAGGGGAGTTAAGCACAAGCATTTTGAACACAATGTCAAATAGAGACTATTTAAATGATGAGAAAAGCACTTGCTCCAAATGTTACCATAATCCTTATAAAAAAAGTGAAACAGGTCAAATTTTAAATGGAAAATACTGTTTCCCTCGTGCCTGACCTTGTTATATAAGGTCTATTCTGAATGCTCGATTTATGTCCAAAATAACTGCACAGGGCCCTAATTACAATTCTGCAATTATAAGCAGGATCAATTATTACAGGCTGATCATACACATTTTTGGTATTAAACTTTCCCCGCTCCCTTCACTGTGTCTCCAGTAGGTTTGACTGTCTTTTACTCATTGATTCATTTAATAGACATTTACAGAGGACCTATTAGGAGGCAAATGACAGGATACAAAACATCAGTTCCTTCAAGAAGGTCATTCTCTCAAGGAAGAAAAACAAGCAGCAAGCAGTGTGACAAAAGCAAGCTAAGTCTAAAGCTGGAGGGCCTTGTCCTCATATCCTTCTGTTCCACGAGAACGTCGCACCTAAAGGCAACTTATTCAACTTTCCACCCAGGCACTTATGTCTGGCGCATAGTAAGAGTTACTAAGAACTCAGTACTGATACCTTCAAAGCCATGGCCAGGCTGGCCAAGGTGCTCTCCTTCTTTGACACTGCTGCAAGCCTCTCCATCGTCCTCTAACCCCCAGCCCATTCCACAAGTAGCTCATTTCACAAGTCAGACCCCTTTTCCAATCTTACTGACAATTTTTTTTAAGGCTAGTCAAGTGAAGCAATGAAAGGGGAGAAGGAACAAAGAAATCTGTAACTGATTGTGATCAATTACTTGTAAACAGCACTGCACTTAGACCAGCCCCCACCTCTTACCGAGTCACCACCTGTCCTACTTCGTCTACTGTGTCAGTGAAGAGGGGACCTCCAGCCCAGGCAAGCCCATCCATCCAAGCCCTGGACTCTCCTCTCACCCACTCAGGCACTTTGATCTGTCAGTTACCCTCTCTCCTTCCTCAACCTTCATCCTCTCTCTCCACTGGCTCAACTCAACCAAAGAAATAAATAGTCCATCTCATCTTTAAAAGAAAGCTAAAACATTTGCTTAAATTTCTCTCTCCCTACCTATTGCCCAACCAATTTCAGGTCTCTTGTATTCACTCCAGAGCAAGTTTCTTACATTTTCTCCCCCGGCATTTTTGACTGCTCACCTCATCCTCACTGTTGAACCACAGAGTTACTGCTCTTCTGTCCTGCAATGCTTCCTCTGACTGTGATCAAAGTTATTTTTTAAGAATGCAAAGCAGATAGTATTGCTCTCCTGTTTAACATCCCATAGTTATCAGGGTAAACGGAATTCCTTTCAGGCTAGAATACAAGATGCTTTGTGATTTGACCCTGCACTACTTCTCCAGCCTTCACTCTTACTGTTCTTCACTTCTCATCCTACCCTCTGGCAACTTTGCTACACAGCGTGCTTTATGGGTTCTCTGAATGCATCTCTTTGAGAAAGGCTTCCCCCTTCAATTTCTTTGCCTGGTTAATTTTTATTTTTCCTTCAAACCTTAGCTTTTCTTAATTACCTTAACAGCCCTATTCTTGCTACTATTGTATAACACCACCCAGTTTTGTATTAGTTTGTCTTCCCTATGAAACAGGGAAAGCCTGAAGGCCAGAACATGTTTTGCTGCTTAAATCTCCAAGGCCAAGTGCTCAATAAATGTTGAATGAATGAATTAATGAATGCAATTTCTCTGACTACCCCTTGCCTCACAAATAGCAGGTTCTGTTACCCAAATATTATCACACTTCTGTTAGTATGAAAAACTGAGAGATAACTATATTCAAGCAGCTGAATACCATCATGGCTCAAAAGACTAATAATTCCCACAATCTAGATCTTTGTTCACTCGCATATTTTCCATTGAAAACATGGCCAGTTGTTTCTGAGAGAATTACTTTTACATGCATTACAAAGCGCATTTTGGCATCTGTAAATTAGCAGAAATTCCAACACCATCAAATTTTCAGGAAAGAGGACAGAAAAAAGAATTAACTAATCTCCTTCCTTTCAATTCTGAAACACCTGAGTCACACTTTTTAACTGTACTAATTTTTTTAAAAAGAATCATATTCCCTATTTCTATTAAGTCACATTAAAGGTTAAAAGTTGTAGTATATTACCAATAAGTCAAAAAACTGCTTTTAAAAAGAAAACCAAAAACTTTAGTTTACCCGTAATTCACTTAATGAGGTGTCTGGATCTATTAAGCTGCTGGTGTCCCCACTTCCTCGTCTGGATGAGTTTCCACTTAGAGGAGTTGTTGCTGAGGCAGAATTTCGAGATGAAGGCTACAAAGAGAAATATGACACTTCTAAGTCTCATTTCTTTAAAAATATGTTTGCTGTGGAAACTAAAAACAGGGCAGGGTGGCTGGGGGAAGATGTGGCCTTCAGATTCATAAGTTATCGTGTGTAATCAATGGTCAATTTCGATTGGCTTTGTGCAAAGAGGTATCCAGAGAAGGGCCCGAGCATACTAAGCAAAATTTCATTAACACAAATACCTTATCAGAATCTAGAATTCATGATAACCAAAAAGAAAACAGTTTTATGAGGGTGGTTTATTTTCTAAGTTTCTCTTTGCTATCCACTGAAGTGAGCACATCAGATTAAAGCAGTTTTGTATAACTAATATGCTAATCAGCACTTCCCCTTGTGAGTTTCTGAACTGCGTATGAATCTCTTCTTTCTCTAATACTTTGTTGATAAAGATGAAGACACTATTTGCCCTGGAGAGCAGCAACACTGGATATTACTATGAATGTAGGCTGTTCTTCCCAAAATTCGTTTAAATGTGAGATTATGCTATTCATTAATAAACAGCATGAATCTGTGCTGGTCAATATACTTGCAATTAGCCACTGAGCACTTGAAATGTGGTTAATCCAAATTGCGAGTTGAGTATAGGATGCATACCAGATTTTAAAGGCTTAGTGTAGAAAAAAGAATAAAATATATCTCATTAATAATTTTATATTTATTAGTTTTGTTTCTTTCTTTCTTTTTTTTTTTTTTGAGGTGGAGTCTCGCTCTGTTGCCCAGGCTGGAGTGCAGTGGCAAGATCTCAGCTCACTGCAACCTCCACCTCCCAGGTTCAAGCAGTTCTCCTGTCTCAGCCTCCCAGACTGAGGAGTTGCTGGGACTACAGGCATGGAAAACCATGCCTGGCTTTTTTTTTTTTTTTTTTGCATTTTTAGTAGAGACAGGGTTTCACCATGTTGGTCAGGCTGGTCTCGAACTCTAGACCTCAAGTGATCCACCCACTTTGGCCTCCCAAAGTGCTGGAATTATAGGTGTGAACTACCGAGTCCGGCCTAGTAATTTTATATTGATTATATGTTGAAATAGTTTCAATATTTGGATTAAATAAAATATCTTACCTAAATTAATTTTACCTGTTTCTTTTTACTTTTTAAAAGTGGCTACCAGAAAATTTAAACTTACATATAAGTTCAGATTTGTGGCTTGCACTATATTTCTACTGGACAGAGCTAATTTATCTTTCTTGGGTATAGCATAACATTAATTCTGATAAATCATTTCCCTAATTGACTTTCTAAAAATACTTTCAGAAGAAAGAGACTTTAACACAAAGCAAATCCTAGAAAGGAGTATTTTAACTTCAAGAAACAATTTATATATAAAAGACAATAAAGTCTCAGAGTTTGTCACCACCATTCCTAAAGAAACTTCATATTCAGTGTTTACTGGCTTCTTCTCAGGATCAATTTCTAGAGGAATGAAAATCAAAAAAGAAGATAAAAGCTAAAGAGGTGACATTCAAGGAAGTAAAATGCAGTGCGTTTTTTCTTCCCAGGGCCTCACATGATTTAACTCCGAAAGAATTTTGGAGGGTCAAGGACAGGAAATAGACGAAGGGAGGAAGAGCAGCTACATCAGACCAATTGTTGTAAAATAAATAATGAACAAGTCACAGATAACAAGTTTAATTGACCTTGATAATTTCCCTTAGGAATTTATATACTCACTCTTGTATAATTTTCAGCATACTGTTTGTCAGATTTTTCATCCAACTAGAAAAGAACAAAGATAAAAATCAGGAGAGATGCTTAGCAAGCTGTTTTTTTAAGGAGGAAAAAAGTGATCTTAATTTGAGTTTTCCAAGTTCAGTGATGTTTGAAGCCTAAAAATAAACATTAAAAATGAAATAAAAATTCCAGTTTAACATAAGACAAAATGTCAGCAACTTTAATTTTTATCCTAAGGAAGACATTGAGTAAGCAATCTATGTTTATGCTTACTCAAAAGTTTAGAACTTAGATAAATTTTCTAAGATATTTAAAACACATTAAAGAAGGCTACAATAAACAAGTTTTAGCGCTGCAAATGTTAATACAAAAAAAGCATGTACATATTAAAAGGAAAGGTCTGATAAACCCAAAAGTGAAAAAACTTTATTTCTAAACATTGTTAGAGCACAGGACACATAGATAAAGACTAGTACACTCAGCCAAAAAGTTCAGATTGGACTAACGCATGTTAAATATGTCACCAGAATATTTTCTCTCACATCATTAAGCATTATTTTTTTCAGTAATACATGCACATGTGACCCCCCCCCGCACCAAAAAAAATCAAACAGCACAAAAGGATATGAGTAGGGCTCTCTCCCTACACCAGTCTCTTTAATAGCAACCAACCCCAAAGTCTTTAAATCATTCTAAAAGTGTCCCATATATGTTCTATATCTTCTTTTCCCCCTTACCACGTCTCAGAGATCTGAGAAAGTACTTCATCTTTCTTCATAACATTTATCACTCCCTGACACTATGGTATTTATTCACTTATTTATTGTCTGCTCTCTTTCTATAATGTAAGCTCTGTATGAGTATGTTCTTTTCTGTACTCCTAGTACCAAGAATAGTGTCTGGCATACAGAAGGATATTTATTTATTCATCCAAAATTTGTTGGATGAATAAATAAATCATACTCCATCTATACTAACAGACTTCCCTCATTTATTTTAAACAGCTTCATAGTAGGCTGTTTGGAATGGAAAATTGTCTCAATTTTCCATCATTAAGCTAACCTATCTTCTGCTGATAGGCCTTAAGGTTGTTTAAGACAGTGCTTCAAGAAGGGAGGTACCTTAAAAGTCTAGGCCAAGACCTTGACTTTAATAGCTAGGGAAAAAGAAATTCAGAGGTGAAAGATTTTGCTGAAACGTGCAGAGTTAAATCCAAACCTTAGTTTTGTAAATTTTCAGTTCAGTGTTCACATTGTTTACCTGTATATATATATATATATATATATATATATGCTATTCCAATTATCAGGAGAAAAAAGTCACATAGAGATTTAACTAAATGAAAATAACTCGGGCCAGGTACGGTGACTTACGCTTGTAATCCCAGCACTTTGGGAGGCCGCGTGGGCAGATCACAAATTTAGGAGATTGAGACCATCCTAGCCAACATGGTGAAATCCCATCTCTACTAAAAAATTAGCCAGGTGTGGTGATGTGTGCCTGTAGTCCCAGCTGCTCAGGAGGCTGAGGCAGGAGAAGTGCTTGAATCCGGGAGGCAGAGGCTGCAGTGAGCCAAGATCACACCACTGCACTCCAGCCTGGGCAACAGAACGAGACTGTGTCTCAAAATCAAAAAAAGAAAAAAGAAAATAATTCCAATTCCTACACAAACCTTCTAGGCCCAATCTAGAGACGAGATCTGAAAACTGTTCTCAGTTAATTATTAAAACATGAAACATCATTTCTGACTCTACTCAGATCACTTCACCTTAACTTCCCTATATCTGAATGTTCTTAGTGTTCTTTTTATTACCCACACTTATATTTATGAATATTCTTTATTATGATGAAAGTATTACATCAATAATATAAACACTATTTTTAGATACTTGTTATTTCTTGTAAAAACTCTCAAAAAGAAACTTTTAGTTCTTTTTTTGAGTTTTAAATATTTTAATTTTAAATATTTATTGTCCTTGTTTTTAACATAATTTGCACATTTACATAATTATAATGGCTGTGTTTAACAAGTGGCTTGCAACAAAATTCTTAAAAATTGAGTAACTGGCCCACCTGGGCTGGGACGAGCCAGCTGGAGCATACTGCTGCCCTCAGCCTCTAGGAGGCCTCAGGATTACAGCATCCATCTTATGATACTGGCCTGAAGGCGATAGTCTCGGAGGTGCTGCTGACTGTTGAACTTCCTTTTGGAATGTATGGGAGAAGGCAGGAAAAGGAATCTTGAGGCAGACTGCCATCCAGGGACTGCTATCCCGTTCACTTATTCAGCTGTGAATGTCAGTGTTCTTTCTTCCTCTTGTCTACTGCATGCAGGCCCGGGAGCTGAGGGGTTAGTGAAAGGTACAGGAAGGGAAAAGAGAAGAGGGCAAGAGCCCATCCAACGCAGAGGGAGCAGGAGCTGAGGTGGAGGCCACTGCCTCCCTAACCCTCTGTTCCATCCCTTGGCTCAAGAAAAGCAGGCTTAGCAGAGTGGACACTTTTTATTGGTCTGGCTGGCATGCCTAGTGGAAAGCTCAGGCAGAGCTTCCTATCTGCCCTGGCTCCCATCTTCCCTCTCCTGGGAGTTCATCACACACCCTGAGAGGGAAGAGTGTCCTGGGCCGAGGTGGGAAGAAAAGCCAGGGTAAAAACTCCAGGGCTGGGAAGCAAAAGGGGCTCAGGGTGATGCAGAAAATGTGACGCTGCCAGGCCATCCAGATGAAGTGTCCATGGGGCAGAGGAGGAGCTGTTTCCCTGTAGAGACTCCTCTGCCCTCATCAGGAATGGGAGAGGCTCCCTACTAGGCCCTTCGTGCCATCAGCATCTCCCTGATGTTGTCCTCAGCTTCCTTAACGCTCCGCTCCAGGTAGGACTTTTTCTGTTCTAGCTAATGTTTTCTTCTACTATTTTTTGCTTCTCTAACAGTTGATTGTGAATTGCTTCCTTGGACTGAAGAATAAACATTCTTCCTACACTTTCATATGTGTTAGTCTCATCTACCAAAGTCAGGATTTCTGTATCTCTAAGATGTGCATGGTTCTTTGTTCTGTTTAGCTGTTCGATCTGTATGTCTGCCAGCTTCACGACTTCTGCTGAGTGTTAATAACTTTGGCCTGAAGCTCTGTGAAGGCCTTCCTCAGCTCAAGATCCACGGGGGCGGCCATCTTGGTGCACTCTAGGCCTCATTTTGATTTTTTAAACGACATATAAATGTTTCAAAGCAAGTAATGACAGTGACTGAAATGATTTTTTTTAATTTAAATTTTATTTTTTTTGAGACAGAGTCTCACTCTTTTACCCAGCTGGGGTTCCGTGGTGCGATCTGAGTTCATTGCAGCCTCTGCCTCCCAGGTTCAAACTATTCTCCTTGCCTCAGCCTCCCAAGTAACAGGGATTAGAGGCACATACCACCACACCTGGCTACATTTTTTTGTATTTTTAGAAGAGATGGGATTTCACCATGTTGGCCAGGCTGGTCTGGAACTCCTGACCTCAAGTGATCCACCCACCTCAGCCTCCCAAAGTGCTAGGATTACAGGCATGAGCCATCATACCCAGCCTGAAATTTGTTTTTAAATACTATATTGCCAATTATTGCCATCAAAAATCCTTTTATGCATCTATAGTGCATTGCCCAATATTTAATGTATTATTCTTCAAAGCAAAATAAATATTATATTTGAATAAATTGCCTTACTTTCCTCAAAATATTTTCCAACTCTTTTCTGCCAATGTGTTAAAGAGAAAAGCAAGTAGTATTCAAAATTAAAGCAGTCTTCTAAGTTTATTTGAAATCCTTCCTCATACCCACTTCTCACAGAATGACCTCCAAACTCACCCAGTTTTTAACAGGCTGACCCTGGAATAATCTTACATTTCAGAGATCATATCACTGAACTAATCCATCACAATACTGACTCTATTGCTTTCACTATCTTCTGACAGATCCCAATTGTCGAAACCCAAACTGAACATACACCAAACCTCAGAGATTGTCAAGCCAGCAAAAATTACCCAAAGCCACCACGACACAGTTCTCTTATTTTGGCTATACTAACTTGCCCAGTTCTCACTTTTGAGACTTGTACTGCATTATGTGCTGTCTTCCATTTAGAAAAATACCTAGCTGAAACTTGGTATTCTAAGAGCCCAAGAGGATCCAACAGCCAAGAGTTCCACATGGCTGCAATGCAATGACAAGCTAATGTTCATAATGATGATCCAGAGTCTGCCAGATCCAGAAAAAAAGCTTTTAAAATGGAATAAAATTAACCATATCTAATATATTACGGCATAAAACTGTAATGAAGTATTTACAGTGTAGTTTCTTTAATGCAGTCATTGGATCTTGATCCTTTATTAACTTCTAATTTATATATATACTAACTTGATAATGCTACTGAAAAACTGTTTGAAAAAATATCCAATTCCTCAACCACAGAAGAGAAGACATCAATTGATTTTAACAATTTCCTACTGCCAAACTGGCTAAGGATTCCATTTAGAAATGGGTTTAATTAACAATTGGCAAAATTTCAGTTTTACTTAAAACACATTTGCATTTGTTTCCTTTATTGTAGCCCGACTTACACAACAGAAATAAAGCCAATGGAGAAGAAAATAAGAGTCTAGAGTCACCAAAAATATTACATAGGCTTGCAGAATCATGACCTGGCACCCTTTTTCAGGACCTGCTAGCTCAGAAGTTATGAACTATAAGCTTACAAACATACATAGTACATAATGAGGTAACCAGAAAATGTCTTTTAGAATTCTGAATTCATTGCCAATATTTTAAAATCAGAATATTTTATGTTGAAATGGAGATTTCCAGCTCATATTTTTATAAAAGTGGGAGGGGAGGGGGGTCTATTAACATGAAGTCTCCTTTGTATTCATCTACAAGATGAGCTGGACTACAGCATACCCTTTAAAAGAAATACTACTAGAGAAAGTTATTTGCTCCAGAAAGAGGCCCAGAAAATATTGTAGGCTTTGCCAGGAGGCACAATTAATGATAAAGTACTTATATACAAATCGCCTGTAATCCCAGCGCTTCGGGAGTCCAAGGCAGGAAGATTACTTGAGTCCAAGAGTTTGGGGCTGCAGTGAGCTATGATGGCCCCACTGCACTCCAGTCTGCAATACAGAGCAAGACCCTATCTCTTTAAAAATATATATAGTTATATATGTACATATACATACATTTATGTATATATAAACATGTGTGTGTGTATACACACATACGTATAAATAAACCATTATGTATATATAAACATGTGTGTGTGTATACACACATACGTATAAATAAACCATTGGTTTGAAGACTAAAATAACAGGGGGCTAGCCAGATTTGTAAATCCCTGCTCTAGAAAACCTTTTGCTTATGTTAAAGAGTTATATTTAACTAGTAGGGGCAGGGGGAGATTTTTTAAACTTTCAGCATTTTCACTTATATGTAATTACTAAAGTGAATCACCACAAAAGAAATACAAGAAAAAGATAACTATTAATTCAGACATTATAAATTAAGAGGCTGACAGAATCCAGTTTTTAAGAGAACAGATGTAAACTATAAATTTAATTATCTATACTTATGGGGGCGGGGGCACAGAGAAGGGATTACTAGGCAAATTTAAAAGGGCACTATTTCAGGGGAATGACGTGGATCCAGTGTTCTAACCTTGTATGCAGAGAGTTACTCATTTGACCCACACCAAGATGATACTGCTGCATAGCCTGATTTGAGAACCAATGATCTGGAATATTTAAGGACCAAAAATGAAATTATCTTCTAGAATTAAAATAGTTCAGAAATAGCTGTTTAAATATGATCAGTGAAATGCTAATTACAAATAATTATTTCTTCATTAAAAAATGAATGTCTAACTTTTCTATTAAGAAGTGTTGGCCAGGAGTGGTGGCTCATGCCTGTGATCCCAACACTTTGGGAGGCTGAGGCAGGTGGACTGCTTGAGGTGAGGAGCTTGAGACCAGGCTTGGCAACACAGCAAAACACTGGCTCTACAAAAAATATAAAAATTAGCCAGGCCTGATGATACACGCCTGTAATCTCAGCTACTGGGAAGGCTGAAGTGAGAAGAAAAAGAAAAGAAAGAAAAGGAAGGAAAGGAAGGGAAGGAAGGGAAGGAAGGAAGGAAGGAAGGGAGGGAGGGAGGGAGGGAGGGAAGGAAGGAAACGAAGGAAGGAAGGAAAGGAAGGAAAGGAAGGAAGATGCTGCTTCTCACCCTCTCTAAATTGGTATAGTCTTAGTGTATGAACAAAACATCACTAATGTCATCAAGAGAGGAGAAGCGCCACAGAGAAATCAGGCTGTTATTTTGAGATGAGCAGATAGATCCTAAGTTGCTGGCTGGAGTTCATTCATTAACACAAATGCCCCAAGGACAACCTTTCCTAAATTTGGTTCCTGATGAATATGGAAGCAATGAATAGGCACACTTCTTCAGAACAATGCCATAATCCAAATGTTTAAAATCAATTCAGATTCTTACAAGTTAGTACAAATTCGTGACACTTTACTAAGTAGTGTATTTCATTATTCAACTTTCAAAGTCTACCTATCACTTTATAGATTCACTAAAACCGAAAAGGAAAAATAATTTTTTAAACCAATAACAAATGTCTGAATAAGGACTAGGTATTAGATGATACTAAAGATTTACTTATTCCATTTTCACAATACTAAGAAAAGAATAACAAAAAAAATTTTTTTTAATTAAAAAATTACTTATTTCATTAGTTATGATAATGATATAAAAGATCTGAAAAAATATTCGGTTAGAGATACATATTGAACTATTTATTGGGAAGTGACATGATGTGAGATTTGCTTTAGAATAATTCAGGGAAAAGAGGGAAGGGAGAAAAAATCCATGAAACAAAACTGGCAAAATATTGGTAACTGTTGCAGATGCTGATGGGTTCTATGTGGAGATATTTTCACAGAGGGGGGAAAAGGTTTTTTATAAAAAGGACATATTAATAAATACATTCCAAAACAGAGCAAATGTATTTGATGTTAACATGTTCAAACAATTATTATATTTTTTTTTTTTTGAGATGGAGTCTCACCCTGTTGCCCAGGATGAAGTGCAGTGGCATGATCTCAGCTCACTGCAATCTCCACCTCCTCCTGGGTTCAGGCGCTTCTCCTGCTTCATCCTCCAGAGTAGCTGGGATTACAGGTGTGTGCCCCCCACACTCAGCTAATTTTTTTGTATTTTGAGTAGACACAGGGTTTCACTATGTTGGCCAGGCTGGTCTTGAATTCCTGACCTCAGCTGATCTACCTGCTTCAGCCTCCCAAAGTGCTGGGATTACAAGCAGGAACCACCGTGCCTGGCCCAAACAAATATTTCTTGAGACAATAAATCAAGTTCCCACTTATATTATAAACTAGCTAACATATTAGCTGTTAGTCACAAGCCTAGGGCAATATAACCAAACACCTCATGCAGTACACTCACACTGGACACATCTGGGATACTGATGTCATCCACTTCAGAAACAACACTTCCCCTACGATCGGAGCGACTAAAACAATCGGCGGCAGAAACCTTTCAGTCAGAAAAAAATGAGATGTTTTAAAGGTAAGAAAATAAGGAAGAAAGAAAAAGGTAAGAAAACTGGTCAACTGGGGAAACGTTTTTAAAATTTTCATGTGTGATAAAGTATCAAGAAGTAAAATGAGGAAACTGCTGCAATTAATAACGTACTCATCAAAATAAAAAAGAAAAGAGGTTCCTAAATGAATTCACAGCTCTACAATCAGCTTTTTTACTCATCTTAACTAGTCTTATGCTACAGAGAACATTTACTTCCTGAGGACTAGCAAATCTCTCATGTTTAAAACATTCATCACCCTAAACAGAGGCATTTCTAAGATAGTAGCTACCTAAAGCCTCTAATATAATTCTCAAAATTTACAATTCATTACAGCTAACAACTGTTAAGAATATATGTGCTGAATGCAGAATTATTTGCAGGGTGTTTACTGCACCTTTTCTCAGTTTACACAGTGTTCTCTTTGTATATTCCCATACACTAGGAAACGCAGGACAAAATAATGAAGGAAATGAACTATACTGGCCTCTTTTTGGTTCCCCAAACACACCCAGTTCTCCCTCACCTTAGGCCTTACATTAGAAGGCCTAGAAAGCTCTTCTCCCAGCTCTTCAGGCAACTGGCTCCTCACATTTCAGGTCTCAGCTCAAAGATCAGTTTCACAGAGAAGCATCTCTAATCACCCCATCCAAAGGGTCACCCAAAAACATACTGACCCCTCCATGTTCCCTATCACATTATCTATTCTCTTCACAGTCCCTGATATTTCTTTCTGTTTCTTTCACTACTAGCTTATTTTCCATCTCTTTTCACTAGGATATAAGCTCCATAAAGTCAGAAATCTAGTCTGTCTGGCTTAAAATAAAATTTCTAGTGCTTAACACGGGGTTTTGAATATAACAGGTACTCCACAAGATGCACTCTCAACACATTTTATAAGGCAAATTACTTATATAACCAAATTTGAGGAATATGCTCTTTTTGTCAAATGGAAATTTCACTTCCCAACAGATTTCATGTGATCACACGTTGTTGTCTCTTACAACTCATTCTATACTTTTGTATGCAAACCATGCTCACCACACTTTCCCTTCGTCCACGACTGGAACGATCAGAGGACACAATGCTTGCGGTGTCATCATTGGTAAACTACAGATATTAAATGCAGATAATGAAAAATGCAATTTTGTATGATCTTAGCTAATTATAAGCACATTAAGGAAGATTTTGAGATGCATACAAGTATCTATAGAAGCAGCATAATTGGTACTATTGTGTACCCTTATATATTAACAGAAAAACTGGTACCAGGCATAATAAACTGCCATTAAAAATCAGGAGACATTTCCAAAAAGCACAAATAAAGTAAAACCTTACGTTTTACTTTAGTTAAATTAAATTAAAGGTAAAGTGGCTCACGCCTGTAATCCCAGCACTTTGGGAGGCCAAGGCGGGTGGATTGCTTGAGGTCAGGGGTTCAAGACGAGCCTGAACAACATGGTGAAACCCCATCTCTACTAAAAATACAAAGATTAGCTGGGCCTGGTGTTGGGCGCCTGTTAACACCAGCTACTTGGGAGGCTGAGGCAGGAGAATTGCTGGAACCCAGGAGGCGGAGGTTGCAGTGAGCCCAGATCACGCCACTGCATTCCAGCCTCAGGGACAAAGCGACACTTGTCTCAAAAAATTAAAGAAGGGGAGGTGCATAAGTAAGCCAACTGAAACCAGCTAGGGATTTCATACTTTTTAAAACTCTGGGCCCTTTGGGATCCTATCAGGGGTCAATAAATATACTTAATGTTTTGCTTGGCAGAGAAAATAAAAGAATATTTTCAAGCACAACAATGTAAGTCAACAACAGACTTTCCTACAACAAGGACAATAAAGTAATGATTCTTATTTTCCCTTCCTCATTGCTATGCAACTAGTGGAGATGTTGCTAATATCACCCTACACGGTTCTTCCTGAAGACTCATCTTCAGTATGTGTAGTTTATCTCCATTCTAACATCACTAGGAAACCATGCTGGCATCACTACAATAGTTATTCTAACCCCAACCTGCAAATGAAATAGGATCTAGCCAGCCTATAAGAACAAGATCCTATACTTGACTGAAAATATAAGCTGGATACAGTAATACACATTTGCAGCTACTCAAGAGGCTGAGGCAGGAGGATTACTTGAGCCCAGCACCACATAGAAAGCTACCCTCTCTAAATAAAAATCAAAATTAGGCTGGGTGCAGTGGCTCACGACTGTATCCCCAGCACTTCGGGAGGCCGAGGTGGGTAGATCATCTGAGGTCAGAAGAAGTTCGAGACCAGCCTGGCCAATGTGATGAAACCGCATCTCTACTACAAAAAAAAAAAAAAAAAAAAAAAAAAAGAGCCAGGATGGTGGTATGTTCCTGTAATCCCACCTACTTGGGAGACGGAGGTGGGAGAATTGCTTGAACCCGAGAATTGGAGGCTGCAGTGAGCCAAGATTGCACCACTGCACTCCAGACTCTAGGCGACAAAGTGAGATCCCGTCTCAAAATACATATATATATATATATATATGTATTTTTAAAAGTGTGTATATGTATGTATAAAATCAAATTTTATTTGCAAGGGACCACCACACTCAGGAAACTAAAAGTGCTACCAGGACCAATAATTGCAAAGTTAATTTTTTTTTTTTTGAGACGGGTTTTGGTGTTGTTGCCCAGGCTGGAGTGGAATGGCGCAATCTTGGCTCACTACAACCTCCACCTCCCCTCCAAGCGATTCTTCTGCCTCAGCCTCACGAGTAGTTGGGACTACAGGCGCGTGCCACCATGCCCAGCTAATTTTTGTAACTTTAGTAGAGACAGGGTTTCACTGTGTTGACCAGGATGGTCTTGATCTCTTGACCTCGTGATCCACCCGCCACGGCCTCCCAAAGTGCTGGGATTACAGGTGTGAGCCACCGTGCCCAGCCGCCAACTTACATTTTATTACGAGGTGGGTTAAAAGTAAACTTCTTTCTTATGTGAAAAAAAGCTCTTATCTTCTTAAACATCCCTGTGTAACTTTTGTTAAATATAGCAGTGGCATTTTTGAGCAGTGCAACTTAGAAATGGTAGAACTGAGACAAACATATATAAAAGAAAACCCATATAGCTTGCGAATTCCACTCTACAAAGTTACCTTTGATGACCTTCAAAAAACTGCTTCAATTATTTCTCTAGTTTTGACATTGTCAAGGATAACAAGGTAGCCTGTAAAGTCATCAGTTGCCATTGGGAATGTAAATTAGTACAGTCTTTTTGGTAGGCAACATGGTAATTTACATCATAATTTAAATGCATATCCTCTTTGACCCCCTCATTTCACACTTGCAGATTTACCCATGTAAGTACACAAAAATACACTTGCATAAGGATGCTCACTGTGTAAATGTCTATAGTAGCAAACATATGACAGCTTAATGTCCATCACGGTGAAATGACTTTTCAAATGTAATCTTATGCACTAACGGAATATATTGCCATTAAAAAGAATGTGCTGATATGAAACTATCTCTAAGAGACATAAAGTGGAAACACTAAGGGTCACAGCTTGTTTAAAATTTTTATTAATAAAAAGAATGAAATAAATCTATAGGTGCTGATACAGAAAGCTACTTTAAATTTAAAAAAATATATTGAGGAGTAATATGTATATGAACCCATTGGCACTCAAAATAAAGAGCACTCATATGCATAAAATATCTCTGAAATGTTACTGAAGAACAGAGGTAACATTTGGGGTATGAAAATGGAGAAGGAGGAGTCTGGGGAATTTTGGATTTTCCTTAACTGATGTTATTTTTATAAATAAAAAAAAATACTCCAGAAAGATTAGGAAATTATAATTGTCTCAGTTTTGTCTTTTGTATAACATTTTTTTGGAAATCAGCTTGCTTTATTTCTTCTGCTCACTGCACTGATAGAAGTGCTGGCAAGCAGATGAAATGGCTCAATGTGCAGAAAGTAAAGATGGAAAGGAGAAACCTATACACTGAATTTTCATCACTGAAAGACAAAAAGTTCCACACAAATGAAAATTAAGTATAAAAACTTCAAAAATTCTAATGGCACTGTTTGCAGACTCATTTAAGAAATTACATGCTAAGTCACAGTTAGAGAGAAATCACCAATTATTAGAACAAATTAGTGCTTGAGTGCTTGAGTTTGTGTTCTAAGGGTGCACCAAAATCCACGCACAACAAAGTGAATCACACCATATCCTCTATATTCTAAACAGTGAGTACAGATTAACGCAACAATCAAAAGTTTCTACAAAGCATGCAGAGACCAGACAGCTCACCACTGGACTGCTTCGGACTGAACTTGTTCTTGATGAGTAATAACTGCATTCAGATGGCTATAAGGTTTCCAAGAAGAAAGGTTTTACAACAATGATCACCTCCTTTTTCTAATGAGAATACATTAGTGATCATGGACCTAACTTGCCCCTGGTTCTCAGGATAAAGGTTACTGTTATCCCGTGGTTCTAGAACTCTACCTCATCCCCACCCTCAAGATCCACCAGCCCTTGGATAGAGCGAGAAAAAAGGGGATGCCCTGAGAAGTGCTGCTCAGAACTTCTTCAGGAGGAACTAATGAACAAGAGAAGTGGTTTTTCTGTGTATTTCCCTAATACTTGAAGCTATGATTTCCAGCAGGCATATTATCACAGCTTGGGTGAGTCACAGCTGGCTAGCTGAATGCAGAGTAATTACAGGTCAGATTAAATGACTTTCTCTTTGCAAGTAAACTGTGCCCACCTCCATCTCCCTCCTCTTCAGCACCTCCCCTATTTGGACTTACAGTTCGAGAACCGTAAGGGTTATATGATCCACCACTGTACAATGATGCCTATGGAACAAAGGAAGTATCACTTAGCTATTGAACATCAAGGTGGTTTGGAAAATGACTCAATGTTTTCACAATACTTGGTACCAAAAAAGTTTTGGAGAATGGCATAAGTGTATAGCCTCCCAAAACGAAAACTCCGAAGGCGGTAATACTCATTTATACGCGCATAGACTGCTATCAACCTTACACTTCGTTTAAAACACCCCTGGTTATAGTATTTTCTTTCACTGTTATGTTATGAAACTGAGAGAATTAACATGTATAAATTTATTTTCTCAAAAAAGGAACTAGAGCAGGAAAGGAAACTGAGGTACAAAGAGCATTTAGCCCACTACAACAATAAAATTAAGTTATAAAACATCAGGATCGCAGTCTACTAAAACAGGCCACAACACAACAAACAACAGCTTGAAAGCAACAAATTCCCAGCTCACACATTACACGGAGCTATTGCTTTTACTTTTCTAGTCAGCTTGCTTTATTAAAACCTAGTATCAGAGGCCAAGATCATAACTGTCCCAAAGAAAAACAGCATCCTTTCTGTAAGCAGCCATCTCACAGAAGTACGTGAGTGTGGTGGGACTCAAGCAAATCTATCTTCTCTATAAAAAACTGATTCTAAGCAAGGGCTACCAACAGCCCTCTGTAAAGGGAATATGCTCATTTTTAATACCCTTAAGTTTTATATTTTAAGCACAGGCAGCACATTCTGCAATACATGACATTAAAGTCATGTGTCCTCAACTATTTTGGAGAAATGCTGTCAAGCCAGAGTTAGCACCATGACAGTCACCCCACCAGCAGTGCACACACTGGAAGAAGAAAACACAAACCAGACTGGCACTTCTCAGCAGACCAGAATTTGCAGGAGAGGCCTATGAAAAAAGTTCATTATTAAACCCGAAGAAAAGCAACTGGTAGCTCTGAAGGCAGAACATTCCTCAAAAAGTACTAACCCTGTCACTCTTAGATGTGGCCAGAGGGTCACTGTACAGGGAAGAAGACTGCTAAGAGACAAAAACAAAATAAGTAAGCAAAAACAAAAGCAAAGATGAACTGTCTCACCATCATGAATGCAGAGGACTTAAGTTTATGATTTTATACTCCATAATTCATTAGCAATTCCTGAGTGCTGAAGGCAGTTCAGAAAACCTTAAGTCATTAGCAATTGTTTTGAATTTCAACTATAAGGGATAAGAAAGAAAAACAGTTGGAACAGTTTTCTATAATTATAAACATGTTTATGTCCTATTGGTGATCTTGGAGCATTGTTGTTAGGATATGGAATGGCAAGTAAGAAAACACTGAGGAAAAGAGAGCTGTGGCACCGGGAGTGTGGCAAACAGTGACCACATCCCATTCACCCAGCTCCTGGGGTGTTTTCAGCGATTTCAGGACCGACTCGTAATTGGCTTACACTGATTTTTGGAGAACAAGATAAATAAGCTCCAAGTTATCATAACAAACACTTTTTTCCAAATTGATTAGAAAAACTGTTCTTCAAAACAAGCTATGGACAAAGGGCTTTAGTTGAATGAGGTCGATTGTACTAGTCAATGAAGCCATGCACTAAAAGGGCACAGCATGTTTTTAAAGGAATTAAATCTTCCTTTTCCTGATGTCACCTGAGGACACTTTTCAAGTTCTTTTTCACCAAACCCAATCAGGATGAAAGTAAGAGTACTTAAATTGTGTGTGCAGGTTTTTTAAACAACATTATTTTAAATGTACTGTGTGCCATACATTTAATGTGTCTTACATGCATGATGTGTTAAATGCCTTTTAAAAAAAAACAAGAGATTCTAACATTACATAATTATATTCCTCTCATCCCATGTGTAGTTTACATTTTTATATGTAAGCTTTTTTAAAAGGGTACCCACTCTGAAGTAAACTGATGCTTGCAACTTATTTTGAAATGTATCAAAAACTAAGATGAATTGATGGTTAGAGGGACAAATAGATAATTATGTGATAAAGGAAATATAATGAATTGTGTAATCTAAATTATAGGTATGTGATGTTCACTATATAATTCTTTGAATGTTTTTTGTAGATTTAAACATTTTCATTAAAAACAATTCTAATGGTACTGATTTATAAAGATGGTGATTCAATAGTTCCTACTGTTTAAAGAGACTCTCACAGACTATATAAATTCATTTACCAAAAACTAGTGTACACATACCCATTTACAGATTAGTTACAGCTAGTCAAAATGTAAAATGGGGAGATTAGAAATATGTTAAAAGTAAATCAAACACATAAAGTCAAAAAAGACTTTGGACAAACCCGAGTGTAGTAGGCAGAGGTGGGTTTGCAGTATCTAAGACTGCTATACTTTCTCTGGTCAAAGTAGAGGCCACTCTGCAAAAAGGAAAATTATACACATTTTTCTCAGGTTAAATGTTAACAACCTAACAACATACAAAGGCAAAATCTGATATTGCCAAATCCCTTCTTCTCCAAAATAATGTTTTAAAATCATTGGATCACATTAAGTCAATGTAACAATTAGTTCAAGCCCCTCAAACAACATTGGCATTAAAATTTGTTTTCAAAGACATCACTTTTTAAATTTAAAAACAAGACAGTAAATCCTCAGACAAAACGGAAGGCAAACAATTTATTCTCATGTCATACTTGAGAACGTCCTTGAATACTCCTGGACAGCTGAATAATTACCAGTTTTATGATCCATCCTTAAAGCCACAGAAGTGATTAAAGAGCTTTGTATTTGGTTTCAAACATTTCCTAGTCCCATTCCTTGTCAAAATAAACTGACAAATTAAATTACCAAAAAGAAAGAGAGAGTACAGGCTGGGCACGGTGGCTCACACCTGTAATCCCAGCACTTTGGGAGGCCGAGGTGGGTGGGTCATGAGGTCAAGAGATCGAGACCATCCTGGCCAAGATGGCGAAACCCCGTCCCTACTGAAAATACAAAAATTAGCTGGGCATGGTGGCTTGCACCTGTAGTCCCAGATACTCGGGAAGCTGAGGCAGGAGAATTGCTTGAACCCAGGAGGCGGAGTTTGCATTGAGCTGAGATGGTGACACTGCACTCCAGCCTGGGCAGCAGAGTGAAGAATCCATCTCAAAAATAAAAATAAAAATAAAAAAAGGGACAGAGAGTATAATAAATTTGGTTTGATCTAAAACACCTATGGCAGGTTAATTTTCAATACAACATACATAATAAGCAATAATAGTATACATTACAGCTAACTGGGGGAGAGAAAACCACCTATAAAATTCCCTTCCCAACTTTTCTAGCCATCTTTTTTACTCAAGGTTAAGCAAATTTAGGCAATCTCTGACTTAAAGACTCCACCAGTGTTGACATTGAAGTTGAGGATGCCCCTAGTCGCACCCCACCCCTACCACTCGTGGCCCTGCTGTCCCACACCACTCCTCACTCCCCACTTACAACCTCAACTAGGCACTAAGGCTCACCTTTCCCTAGAGATTCCAAGATCCTACCTTCCAGGGCCTCTCATTAATGTCCTCCCCATTACATTCTCCCTTCTCTCCTCCCTTGTACCAACCAAAGCCTTCCAACCCTCTCCCAACCCAACCCAGGGGAACCCTAAATTAGCAAAGGGTTGAGACTGAACTTCCTTTGCTAGTACTGTAGAAAATGGGTGCTCCTAATGTACCAAGTGAGCATTGTGGAGACATTATTTTCCTCTCAGAAATTTGTTTAGTGGCGGGACACTGTGGCTCACGCCTGTAATCCCAGCACTTTGGGAGGCTGAGGTGGGCGGATCATCTGGACAACATGGCAAAATCCTGTCTCTACAAAAATACAAAAATTAGCCAGGCATGGTGGCATACGCCTGTAATCCCAGCTACTTGGGAGGCTGAGGCAGGAGAATCACTTGAACCCAGGAGGTGAAGGTTTCAGTGAGCCCAGATCTTGCCATGCACTCCAGCCTGAGACAGAGCGAGACTCTGTCTCAAAAAAAAAAAGAAAAAAGAAATGTTGTTTAGCAAGGTGGCTAAAATAGAGAGTATATTAATTCTGCAGTTTAATTACATTATAGTTTAACGAGTTTTCAGCAAGCTAGCATGGGAACTTTGCCATTACATATTTACTGCAAAAACCAGAAAATGCATTCCAAGTTCCCAAAACACAAACTTTTAGAATGAAACCTATTTGTGAGTTTAGTTACTGCCCATAATACCACAACTAAACCAATTTGAATTCTAAAATAAAGATGAAAATCTCACTAAACCTATTCTTGAGGTATATTCCAAAGGACAATTCATAAATGAAGATACTTGTTATTAAGCTTCTAGTGATGTATTACTAACTGGCTGCTGGGGTTTGCACATCTTAACAAGATTAAAACTTGCAAATGAAAGCAAAATTATTTTTTAAATTTCTGATGCATCATGTTTCAGCAGATTATCAAGTCTCAGTAATGCCTTAGTAGCACACCAAAGCAATCATAATTCTTCAGTTTCCTAATAGTATTCCATGAACTGTGGCATGAGACACAACAGAACTAACCAGTAGGTCTTTATGAGAACCAGAAGACCTCTTCTTCATTCCATGGGAGTGACTGTAAGAATGATGCTGGAAGTAAATGTTGTGAGTTAACTTTAATGACTGCATAGTGAAGTTATGAAAATAATTTAATAAAATTCATCTTGAAAAAAACACAAAGGTCTCTATAAGAAACACAACAGTTTACATGCAATTTATTTCCCAAAGGTTAGTGAACAATTCACTGCACTTTACTAGCGAGGCTACCTGGCTGTCTACACATCTGCATTCCTCCGTCACCTCCCTCTGTGCCAAGCATCTGTGTGTCTGGCCAGCTAAAGAAAACTTGATTATGACTTAGAGCCAGGCAGGATATTTGTGGAGAGCTTCACACCACACTTGAGTCCCTCTGATGTCTTTTTTTTTTTTTAATTTTTCAATAGAAACAGGGTCTTGCTCTGTCACTCAGACTGGGATATAGTGGCACAATGGTGGCTCACTGCAGCCTAGAACTCCTGGAGTCCTGCCACAGGCTCCTGAGTAGGTAGGCACACAGGCTTGTACCACTACACCCAGCTAATTTGGGGTGGGAGGCGCGTAGAGACAATGTCTTGCTATGTTGCCCAGGGTGGTCTTGAACTCTTGACCTCAAATGATCCTCCTGCCTCAACTTCCCAAAATGCTGGGACTACAGGCATGAGACACCATTCCTGGACTCCCTCTCTCTTCTTTATAATGGTATGGGTAACAAGATAATTCACTTCCTCCTATAGTCTCCCTTACCTAAAGGTAAAAAAGCAATCCTTTGGAACAATTATAACAGGACTCAGAGAACAAAGAACGTGACATTGCATTGTCCCAGAGAGTACTCTTAACCCGAATTAGTGAACCCACAGTATGTAAAGCTCAGGAGAAGAGCAACCAACATGGTATGGATTGCCCAGCATACCATAAATGGTCACCTTATAAAAGGGTCCTTTGAAGACAGGACTGTCTCAATACCTAACTTTTCCTAGGAGGACAGAGCCAAGCGCATACAGGGAAATTAACGCCAGGAAGACTACTAAATAAGGTAAGTTGGTAGATAAGAAATCTAATCTAGATGCATACTACTTGCCTGAAATAAGAGGGTGAGGCTAGATGTACCCTACCTATCAACAGCCAAAGGCAACAGACTGCTCCAGGCAAACCATCTCACATATATACAGCTGTATCCTCAATCAATGATTAAAAACTCCTTTTTCTTTTTTATTATGCATCTTTTTACATTTTACTCTAAACATATTAAGAGATGTCTACATAATTTAGAAACTCAGGCAACCTATTGATAAAATATTAACCCAAGAAAAACAAGCTATAACTTAACCTCTTCATTAAGGACATAACAAAAAAACATCAAACCAAAATGTTTGGACAAAACTGATGTCTTAGGTGTCCTCTAACATTATGGATGTTTTCTACCTAGCAACTTTACACCTGCTAGCTTGTGACATGTGACATAAAAGAGTTTGGGCTTGTGCTCAACATGAAGACCTGTTTCTAACAGTGTTAGAATGACAACGAGTATGTGTTAGGTGAGTGGCTCATCGTTTTAAGAAAAGATATACTGCTACCAGCTGGGCATGGTGGTTCACACGTGTAATCCCAGCACTTTGGGAGGCCAAGTTGGGAGGATCACTTGAGACCAAAAGTTTGAGACCAGCCTGGGCAGCATAGCAAAATCCCACCTCTACAAAAAATATAACAATTAGCTGGGCATGGTGGCACATGTTTATAGTACTTGCTACTCAGAAGGCTGAGGTAGGAGGATCCCAGGAGTTCGAGGCTGTGGTCAGTAAGCTATGATTGCATCACTGCACTCCAGCCTGGTTGAAAGAGAGGGACACCATTTCTAAAATTAAAAAAAAAAAAAAAGATATTACTACCAATCCTAGTCCTCAATAGAGAAGAATAACTTGTATCTGATTTAGAAAAATTACTATTCACGCCACAACAACAAAACATTAGTTTTTTTGCTTTGTTAGTCATACATTTTCCCCAAAAGTTCACAACAAAGCCATGAAAGTTAGTCATCTTCTATAATTAGCATCAACAGATGTTTATAAAGTAAAACTCCACATGGAACACAAAGTCATGCACTACATACTAATGATGAGAGTCTTGATGATCTATCCTTGAACATATCACACTGGGTTTCAGCAAAACATGAAAGTTGGTTTGTTTCCAAATTCAGAAATATAGAGAAGAGAAAAAGTAATATTTGAGGTTATTAAAAATCCAACACTACTATAAAGAAAAAAATTATTAAACATGAAAGCTAATCCAGTTGAATTAAAAAATATTCTTCCTCCTACTTTCCTAGTATAAAGTATTGCTAAACTGTTTGTATATTCAAAACTACATATTTGTTTTTCTTTTAAATGACAAAATTCATAATCAGTAATAGTGATATGAATTAATCTCAGCACACTATAGCATAAAACATCCGAAGGGAGCCTTTAAATACAAGAATTAAGGATCCTAAAGTCAAAAATGCTTTTTAAGAAAATTATCATCACTTTTAACATCATTTCCTATTGTCTGAAAAATGGCAAAAGCAAAGGATGAATAGGCAATGAGGCAAGTGCACGTAACTCGCATAGCCACGTTTACATAAGAACAGATGCAGCACCAAGATGGGGAGCACTCCTTTGGATCTGCCTGTGGACAAACACCTAAAAACGTCCTTCCTCAAGAAAATGCTCATTTCTCATTTTGGGAAATCTCGCCAACTCCACAGTACACATACAAGTGTGACACTGAAAATAAATCAAAGAAAAATATACAAAATTCATGATAAGACCAAAACACCCACATTTCATGCAGGATCCTTTTAAAGCAAGATAATATGTTGCAAATCCAGGGAAAAAAAAAACTAAACAGTAACTTCATAGATTCATGGTTTTCACACATCATTTCAGAATGCTTAAGAAATGATGATATATATAATATGTATTATAAATGATATATATAAACTAGAATGCTTAAGAAATATATATGTATACATATGTATACATAAAATATATATATATATACCATTTTACCACTGGCATAAATTCATTGAAAATGTTATTGTAATAAATGCCAATTTTATTGGAGCAAAATATCTGCTTGTTTTTCTTACATTATCCTGAAACTGAGAGAATATACAAGCAACAAAAAATGTTATCATTGCATGTGTAACAAAACCTTGTTACAAAGTTTCTATAATGCATGATAGTAAGCACTTGTTAAACTGTGTAGTGGTAAAATGTCACTTACCATTGGAGTGACACTTCCCCAAAAATAAAGTTCCTTCTCTATAAAAATTTCTAAATTAACGAAATATCTAACCCCTTTGTTTTAAAAACAACAACAACAACAACAACTTCCATGAACAAAACACATATTACTCAAGTCACATATTCTAGCAATCAGGTAAATTCACGAAAGAGTAGCTGTCTACTCTCTCATCAACTTCTCTGTAGCACCAGTGGCATTTTAAACAGGCATAGGATTTAACAAGCTAAATTGAAATTAACCTGTTTCAATTTCCCTTTTCCAAAATATAATGCAGAATTCGGCTGGCTTTAAAAAAAAAAGTTGAATATATCAGGTAGGGAAATCAATAATTTGGACATACCAGTTGCTACTACAACAATGGGTAAACAAAAAGAATCACCCAATAAGTATAAGTTGGCATTTATATTATTTAAAAAAAGATTATATTATTTTAAAAAAGATTCAGTGGCTCAAGCCTGTAATCCCAGCACTTTGGGAGGCCGAGGTGGGTGGATCACGAGGTCAAGAGATCAAGACCATCTTGGTCTCTACTAAAAATACAAAAAATTAGCTGGGCATGGTGGCGCGTGCCTGTAATCCCAACTACTCAGGAGGCTGAGGCGGGAGAATTGTTTGAACCCAGGAGGCGGAGGTTGTGGTGAGCCGAGATCGCACCATTGCACTCCAGCCTGGGTAACAAGAGCAAAAACTCTGTCTCAAAAAAATAAAATAAAATAAAAAAGATTCATCAAAGGAAGTAAAATTGAAAATAGTAAGGGCTCATCTCCAAATTTTTGGTGCCATAACCATAAAGAAAAAGAACTTTTTTAACTTAGAGTTAAAAAAATTTCCAAATTTGCTACTTTAATCTTTTAAATAAATTTTTTTAACTGTCAAACTTGCCTGAAAGTTTTCTTTAGGAAACAAATTAGAAAGAAAGTACATACAGCAAGCAAAGTTCAGCAAGTGTCAATTTCTATTAGAATGTACCTATTACTCAAATATTCAGGACACTGAAAGTCAAAAGTGAATTCATAATACTAATACCACACATTTTCCTGGGCTACACACCATGGGATCTTTCCTTTTGGGTATACTGGCTCTGCTCCAAAGTGTCCCAGTTACATCCTTCGATGGGTTCTTCAGTGGAATTAAACAGTGCAACAGTAAATGATAAAACACAAAACTGTAAGTATATCTTAAAAGTTGAATATACCTTGGTATAATTTCACTAAAATTATACCAAGGCCACTGGTATATAAACAATAACTAAATAAATGCAAGAGTAAAAATAGCCACCAATGAGAAAAGGTGATGTATCCCCACTGCTCTGATTCAATCGAGATCACTTTTTCTTCATTTTTATGCTGTGGCACAATCAAGGCTCACCACAGTCTCTACCTCCTGGGCAGCTCAAGCAATCCTCCTACCTTAGCCTCCCAACTAGCTGGGACCACAGACATGCAACACCACACCCAGCTATTTACTTATTTATTTTTAATTTATTTATGTTTAGTAGAGACAAGGTCTCACTACACTGCCCAGGCTGATCTCAAACTCCTAGGTGGTTCTGCTGCATCAGCCTCCCAAAGTGCTGGGATGAAAGTTTGAGCCACTGTGCCTAGCCAAGATCACTTCATTTTCTAATTTTGGATCTCTACCTATTGTCTTCTTATATTTCAATGTATAAAGCAGTGACCAAGCAGCTACTAATGTTCTGCATTATTAATAAGCTAATCATTATACAAAACTAACAGACATAGATGGTTTCCATTCTAAATTTATAACTTTGTTTTAATCCTCCCTCCCCAATCACACTCTTGAACTACCTTTGCTGTTTCTATTTTTATATGTAATATCTATAGCATTGACACCAACATTTCCAGTCCAGATAGCTTCTGGTAAGCCACCTTTCAACAACATCATATATGAACGTTAACTGGACAAAAGGCGAGATCAAAAGTCCTAAGAATGCAGCATAAGACCACTATATTCACCTCACATTCAGGTAATGCTAATGTTCACACATCAAATACTATGTTCAAAAAGTATTAGACCTCTTAGTACATGGCCTTAAGTTTTTAAAAATAAGTGGCTGAGATATGCACAACTCCAAAATTATATAGCAAATCATAAGGAAATTCAGATCAGGGCTTTATTTCTAAAACTTAAATTTTAGAATGTCACTTTAAATGTCATTTAAATTTTAGAATTTAAATTGTAGAAATAAAACTCTCAATATTATTTAGGTAAAAGAAAAAAGTTTTATCTCAATTATATTTCTTTTAAATGGTATTATTAGTGAGCTTTCAGACTTGTTTCCAGGGAAGTCTAAACATTTAAACTGTGTTAGAGATACACTCACAGACAGTAATGTACTATTACTATTAAAATTGTTCTCCTCTAAAATCATTTCTAGCCTGCCAATTATCTTAGATTTCTGTAAATATCTGTTAGTATTCTTAAAATCTAAAGTTTCATACTTAAAATATTCCTGATTTAATAACTAGTTTTCTAAAAAGATAGTATATTACATTTAAGAAAAATAACCAGCCTGGAGAACTTATTTATGAATATAAACATGTCAATAACTAGTATGCCAAAACATACTCAGTTTTTTAGAGTCTATTTTTATCATTTATATAAGGTAGAAAGAAAATTACAGTTGGGGAAAACAAATATAGACTTTAACATGAAAGATCATTTTAGTGATTAAAAAAGCTACATGGAGGTGTACGTACAGTATCATTACCAAAATGCACTTGTACACTAAAAGCTATTGAAATTTAGAAATTTTTTTAAACAAAATGGAAAAAATATATACATACAGCATTATCAATGTGCAAATTAAAAGTGCTGCTTTAAGGTTTAAAATACACTTCTTTAAGAGAGAAATTAGGGTCTTGGCGTAATATGACGGTTTTTAAGGAGCAACTTCTCCTTTCTCCTGACTTATAACAATCCATGCAAAAAAACCTGGGACATTCTATAAAATGTTAATCAAAATGTCAAAGCACATACATCTTCAGGGAATTTTTCAAATCAGTTGTTCAAATTTTCCACATAATCATAATTAATCATCCAAGCCCCAAAACTATTTCTCATTTAATATTTTGTCATTTTCTAAGGTATGAAAGTAGGAAAAGTATGAACTTAGAACCAAACAAATGTTATTCTACAAGATCAATCTTAATTATTTTGTGATACGTTTCCAAAATCAAAGGTCCCTCTATAGAAAAAGAGACTAGATCCCATGTTAATAGATCAAAATATTATTTTAGAGCTGATTTACTTATGATAATAATTTGAAAGAAAGCATAATTTTCCAATGAAAGGTCTTTGCCAATATCTTATAGTTTTTTATAAAAGGCAAAGAAATACATTAATATTGTCAGATTGTTTAGGCAATAGTATTGAAGAAAGCTCACACGTAAGCTTTGTATTGTTTAGACAAGTTAAAATACCAACCCTGTGACTGCCAAGACTTCGAATGGACAATGCATCCTCAACTCCCTGATAAAAACAGAAATAAACACAGTAAAAGTTTGTGAGTGACTGCAGTAAGCTAATGAGGAAAAGTATTAGACGCAAGTTTATAGGTTATTACAAACCAGATAAGGACGATGGTGACTGGACCGGTGGGAATACCTGGCCCTTTCCGAGTCTTCCTGGGAAAGGAGAAAGTACATGGAGAGTTAATCACTGAACTTTGTCAGAACAACTGAGCAAAGAGCAGTCAGTTAACAGCACAGCAACAACTCCTGAGAGCAGACAGGTTTGGACATCTTATCTTTGGGGCAGCCACATTCTTTATTTGGAAAGAAAGGAGAAATAATCTTGGCAATGTTCTTATTTTATCAGGAGTATGTATGTCAGACCAATTGGAATGGTCTGTATAAGACCAAGAGAGTTTAATATACCAAGATAAAAGTATGCAAGTATACTTTACAAACAGTTGAGTTCAGCATTAAAAACAGACGTTAATCTATTTTTTTCATTGTGATCATCGGTTTATGCAGGCAGGAAGAAGTGTTTACATTATCACTGACGTATTTCAAGAAGACAGTATATGGTTCTAAAAATACTTGGGTTATAATTTTGCACTTACTGTAAAGATTTCTTTTTTTCTTTCACCATTCTAACTAGGAAAGAACTAAGTGAAACAGAGCCTGTGTGTTGCTAATACGAAAAACTATTTATACTTAGAAATAATTACATAAATATTTTAGAGTTGGTCAAGTTATCTCAAGTAATGCCATAAGCAGATTATTTTTAAAAAATGACTGCAGCCTAACAGTTGACTAAATTAAGTTTAATTCTAAACTTTTCCACATTTAGCTATTGGCGATGGAGTATTTAGGCCTGAGTCATGTTAAATAAAAATGGCTAGTCCCTAGAACCTAATCATCTGAAACAGTAAGGAATTTCTCATATTTCAAAATTTCCAAGTCCAAAGTATTAAGTAACTTGCACTGACTGAAAATCTAAACCTTACTGACCAGCTGGGTTCATAGCTTATCTATGCTGTATTTTGCAAAACAAATCGGTGCCTCAAAACCAGGCACATCAGTGCCTGGTTGACATCTGCTGTGACTGATGCCCTTGACCAAATCTGTTCTGAAGTCTGCTTATAGCATACTATGATTCAGTTTCTAATCATGTATTCTGATCTTTAGGAATTCATCACTGATTTACATTTTTTGTCGTTGTCATGCACTGCAGTGCAGTGGCGTGATCTCGGCTCACCGCAACCTCAGCCTCCCGGTTTCAAGCGATTCTTGTGCTTCAGCTTTCTGAGTAGCTGGGACCACAGGCACTCACCACAACACCCAGCTAATCTTTGTATTTTTTAGCAGAGATAGGGTTTTGCCATGTTGGCCAGGCTGGTCTCGAACTCCTGACCTCAAGGGATTGGCTGGCCTCAGCCTCTTACATTTTTTGTTATGCAATAGACACATGTAGTCTGCAAGAAGCCAAGAAAATTTCTTCCCTTTCTTTATCAAGTGATACCACAAAAGTGTTGAGGGCATGTGTGTTAGCCTAGCAGGGTGGGTACAGCTTATTAAATCAGGTCTACGTTACTTAGTTTGGTTAGTTTAAAAAACCTTTACTATAAAGACGAGTTAACTCAACATGCTCCTTTGTAAATATATGGTTTAATATCTAATCTTCCCTTTATTCTAGCCTTTTTCTCATTCCATCTACCACACAAGAGCATTTTCTTTTCTTTTCTGAGACGAAGTTTCACTCTGTCACCCAGCCTGGAGTGCAGTGGCGCTATCTCGGCTCACTGCAACCTCTGCCTCCCAGGTTCAAGTAATTCTTCTGTCTCAGCCTCCCAGGTTCAAGCAATTCTTCTGCCTCAGCCTCCAAGTGCTGGGACTATAGTTGCGTGCCACCACACCCGGCTAATTTTTTATTTTTAGTAGAGATGGGGTTTCACCATGTTGGCCAGGCTGGTCTTGAACTCCTGACCTCAGGTGATCCGCCTGCCTCAGCTTCCCAAAGTGCTGGGATTACAGGTGTGACCTACTGCACCTGGCCCCAAGAGCATTTTCAAAAACCTCATCGAAAGAGTACATCCCATTAAATATGCAGCAAAGACAGATGAATTCATATTTTCAATTATGCCCCTTATATTAATAAAAAAATTATAAATTAGAATACCTTATAAAGTATTGATATGAAATACCTCTATATTTAAACAGCTTTTCTTTTTAGCTCCATTTCAAAAACTAGCCGAAAAAGACTTCAGAAAACTACAGAATAAAATATAAACCTCCATATGGGTCAGTTAATTTAGACAGAATAACTATAGATATTTACTACAGCATATATAGTAAGCTATATAGCATAATATATAAACTATACCTTAAATTAAGCGCTGTCCAATAGAACTTTCTGTGATCATGGTAATGTTCTATATTTGTACTAATGTAGTAGCCACTAGCCACACGTGGTTATTGAGCTATTGAGCACTTGAAATGCAACTGAGAAACCGAATTTTAAATTCTATTTAATTTTAGTCAATTTAAATTTAATTACCTACAAGTGGTTATCATACCTGATAGCACTTCTCTAAACCTACTTGACAAATATATTTAGGTAAAACAGTAAGGTAAGCTCAAGGTAAATTTTAATTACACCAAAAACATTCAAAACACATATTTTACTAAGAGTCTGCCAAGTAGGACCACTCTCATAAAGAAAGGCAAAACATTTGGGTCGTTTTTAATTACTTCTACCTTGAATGCTTTTGCATAGTGGCAAACATGAGGGAAACAGAAGGAAATTCCTGTATAAATGACCCTGGTAGCAACTCTATTTTTTTTTTTGAGACAGAGTCTCGCTCTGTTGTCCAGGCTGTAGTGCAGTGGTGTAACCTCGGCTCACTGCAATCTCCACCTTCTGGGTTCAAGCAATTCTCCTGTCTCAGCCTCCCGAGTAGCGGGAACTACCAGCGTGCACCACCACACAGAGCTAAGTTTTTTGTATTTTTAGTAGAGACAGGGTTTCACCATGTTCATCAGGATGGTCTTGATCTCCTGACCTCTTGATCCGCCCGTCTTGGCCTCCCAAAGTGCTGGGAATGCAGGCATAAGCCACTGAGCACGGCTGCAACTGCATTTTTAAGAGCTAGAAGAGTCCTTAGAGATCATATAGTCTGGTCCCTTCATTGTGCAGTAAGAAAGCTGCAGCACAGAGTTATTAAAGTAAGAATCTTTAAGATCACAAAGCTGGGACCAGCATTTAGACGTTCTTACTCACCAGACAACTGAATTGTAAAGATAATATCCTACACTGGCTACGTTTCCACTAATTACATAAGAAAAAAAAACAAAGAAAATGGCAAGGTATTCTGTTTTTTTACTCAGAGATTCTTCCTTCTCTGAAGAATAAAAAGCTTCATTGCCCAGGTATTTCTGGAGTACTATTTATATTGTCAATTGGTTTCTCTTGAATAAATTATACCAGTGGACAACTAGAAAAGATTACAGCAAACTGTGTTCTTAGGTGCCAGTTACACGGTGTATCCCTCTATTCCATAGTGAGGAAAATAAGACATCATCATTATCCCGAAAGTCCTTATTAGTACTAAAGAGCTAAAGGATGAACAAATATTATGATACCTTAATTTGTTCAAAATGATGCTTTGATACATTTAATGAAAATGAAATACACTCTTTGTTTTTAAAAGTTCACCTGAAAAAAGGACGAATGGTTTTATTAAAAGAAAACCACAGTCCCATGAATACACCTGGCCACCTTATCTGTCCACAAATGGTATTTATTAAGTTGAGGCTAAAGTCATTCCTTCAGTTTCAAATTAGGAAACTTCAAAAACTGTATTTACTCTTTCAGATACACCACTGATTAAGACAGATACTCAGTTTAAAAACAGAATCATTAGGTTCATGGAAAGTTGACTAAATTAACACTAACGGGAGGCCCAGGAGGACGTCGGTCCTTTTCTTCCTGGTCCTTTCACCTTCCAACACGTTAGCAGGTGTGGCACTCTCTCATACCTTCAAATACTGGTTCTGCAAAGGACCATGCAAGTTATTTTATTCATCAATTCTTTATAAACATATCTATAAAATTGAGGCAGTAATACCTGTCTTATAATATGAAATAAAAACCTATGTAAAGAGCACTAGCACAGTGCTGGTACATAGTATGTACTCAAAGTTGAATTCATTTCTGAGCTTCCTACCTTTTCATTTCCTATTCATGTCCCAACAGCACACTCCCACCCAAAAAGGGTATTATAATTAGAGGAAATTGTAAATACAGAAAAATTTCCTTCGTTCTAGTAACTGACACTCCTATTGTGGACTGGATTGTGTGTGTATGCATCATTTATTTTACTATAAATATTAGCCATTTGTATTTTGTATTGTAACTATTACAATACAACTTCTGCTTATGTGCTCACAATAAAGCAGCCAGAGAGACAAGGATAAGTTTACTTTGCAAACTATTAGTTAATGTTTTACTTCAAGACTGCATTACTTCAGCAACTGATCACAACATGCAGGACAGGCAATACTGGCCTACCAGCCACTTCTGAATCTGTCCCCATTTCTGATCAAAGGAATGATGAGAGTACTAGAAATGCAAAAGTTTCATAAACCAAACAGTTTCCATCATAATGCATTCTTCAAAAGCCTTAATCATACACATTTTCCCTAAAGAGCAATGATAGCTGACTCAAAGTCATACATTCAAAATACAGAAAATTCGTAAAGTAATTATGTTCAATAATAAGAGATGCATGGTTCCCTGTATTTTAGAGAATTGTGAATAGAACTTATATTTAATAACTGTCTCATTCATGCATTTATTTATATGTATTTTTCGGAGACAGGATCTCACTTAGTTGCCCAGGGTAGAGTGCAGTGGTGCCATCATAGCTCACTACAACTTCAAACTCCCAAGCTCAAGTGATACTCCCACCTCAGCTCATCCACTTACTATTATATTTAGTATAATTTTAGGAGTGAAACAACAATGAATTGTAACACATTCAATTCACTCAGAGAACTGCATTTCATATTTGAAACTATACACTAGGTTAAAAGGAAATTAGCAGCATGTCAATTGTTACTGTTTTACTTGAGCTGTGACAATATAAAATATTTATGTTGCTTTGTAACCTGCTCACAGAAAATTCAGCACCAAAATTAAAAGAAAATGTTTAATACTGCCCCACTGGCTTTTCCCCTTCATACTACACCACCACCAAAAATATTATGGAAAATTTCAGGGCCAAGTCATTGTCAGAAAAGTGAAAGCATATTTATTTCCTTTTAATCAGCCCAATTACCATATGCCTTTTTTTTTTTTTTTTTGGAGACAAGAGTTTTGCTCTTGTAGCAGGTTGGAGTGCAATGGCACAATCTCGGCTCACTGCAACCTCCACCTCCTGGGTTCAAGTGATTCTCCTGCCTCAGCCTCCCGAGTAGCTGGAATTACAGGCATGCACCACCATGCCCAGCTAATTTTGTGTTTTTAGTAGAGATGGGGTTTCTCCATGTTGGTCAGGCTGGTCTCAAACTCCCGACCTCAGGTGATCCACCCGCCTCGGCTTCCCAAAGTGCTGGGATTACAGGCATGAGCCACCGTGCCCAGCCCCATATACCTATTCTTAAAATTTTTTTTTCTTCTTTCCTTCTGATGATACAAGCACATTGAAAGTTTGTAAATTATAGAAAATCATAGAAAGAAGGTAAAACCAACAATAATTCCACCACAGACAAACCACAGTATTAATAATCATTTCTTTCTAATAGATGCCATATATGGATACTGGTTTTTGTAATATAAAATTGGAGTCCTACCAATTTTATTGTTTTGGTTTGCTTTTTTTTCGTATTCTGACATATTTTCCTCCATTATTAAATATGCTTTAAAACTGTAAGTCTGTATGACTTTATAGTGTTTTATGACATAGATATCATAATTCATCCAAATTTTAGGACAATTAGAGCTATGCTAGTTTGTCATCGCTAAAGTTACCTTAGCTAACATAAAAAAGCACTCATAATACTAATAACATAACAATATACATAATAACAGCTAGATATGTGTTCGTTGTTACTACTTAAACAAATATCATTTTTAATTTGCTGGCACAGAATGGCTTGATAAAACGCACATATCAGTTTATACTATTTTCAGTGTTTCAAAGGAAATGAGATTCACATCAGAATAACCTAGTCAAGTACTGATTCTGGTGGAGACAAGCATGAAATTAGGGTTATTCCTTCAAATTACCTCTTTCTGTTGCCGTTCCAGTTCTCTCATGCGTATATCTCTTGCTTCTGCCCGGGCAGCCCGTTTTGCTGCCAGCCTTGCCTCTGCCTGAAAAGTAATATAAAACTCAGCTTTATACAACAAAAACAACCTGTACATCAGATTCAAAAATAAAGAACAAATGGGACTTTGCAAAGGAGATGGGAGGACAAGATACTATCTTTCAGCAAGTTTGATTGATTGCTTCAATCAGCTCTTATAAAGTCATTTCTTTCCGAATTCCTAAGTCTCTCCTCAAATTTGGGCCTTTACCTTCAACTTCTTGATTACACATTCAACACATTTCACACAGTTTGTTAGATGCCTCTCCAAACTTGCTCTTTTTCCAGCATTTTTTTCACCATTAATTCAATCACATAAACTAGAATCTTCAAAACCAAACTTACTTTCTTTTTGGAGACTGCCAGTAATCAGTCTCCAAGTACTGATAATTCTCTACCATTGAGTCTCTACCAAACCCATCTCAGCTTTCTTTATCTCACTGTTCCTGCCCATTTCGGGAACTCTTCATCTCCCTACTCCCCACCTCTCTCTGTTTTAAAATTAAGACAGAATTCACATATCATCAAATTCACTATTTAAACGTATACAATTCCAGCTGGGTGCAGTGGCTTATGCCTGTAATCCCAGCATTTTGGGAGGCCAAGGCAGAAGGATTACATGAGGCCAAGAGTTTAAGACCAGCCTGGGCAACATGATGAAACCCCACCTCTACTAAAAATACAAAAATTAGCCAGGCGTGGTGGTGCATACTTGTAATCCCAGCTACTCAGGTGGCTGAGACAGGAAAATTGCTTGACTCTGGAAGGTGGAGGCTGCGCTGAGCCAAGATTGAGCCGCTGTACTGAGCCAAGATTGCGCCACTGCACTCCAGCCTGGATAACAGAGTGAGACCCTGTCTCAAAAATAAATAAAAGTATACAATTCCGTGGTTTTTGTATATTCACAGGATGTATAATAATCATGACTAATTCCAGAACATTCTCATACCCCAAAATGAAACCTGGTACCCATTAGTGCTTCCTCCCAGCCCCTGGCAACCACTAATCTACTTTCTGTGTCTATGCATTTGCCTATTCTGGACATTTCATATAAACGGAATCATACCACAGGAATTTTTCATCTCTTGCTTGCATTATTGCAATTACCTCCAAATCCATCTACCTACTTCCAGAATCTGCCTTATAATTCATCTTCTACATGGTTATATGATAGACAAATCAGCCTTTCAAAATGTATTTCTTTTTTTTTTTTGAGACAGAGTTTCGCTGTTGTTACCCAGACCGGAGTGCAATGGCAGGATCTCGGCTCACCACAACCTCCGCCTCCTGGGTTCAAGCAATTCTCCTGCCTCAGCCTCCCGAGTAGCTGGGACTACAGTTGTGCACCACCATGCCCAGCTAATTTTTGTATTTTTAGTAGAGACAGGGTTTCACCTTATTGACCAGGATGGTCTCGATCTCTTGACCTCGTGATCCACCCGCCTCGGCCTCCCAAAGTGCTGGGACTACAGGCGTGAGCCACCGCGCCCAGCCTTCAAAACGTATTTCTGATCATGTCATCCCACTGTGTAAAATCCTCTGCCAGCTCCTTATTACTTAAGGTTAAAGCAAAAATTCCACAGAACAGCACAAAGGGAAGAACAGAAAAAAGAGAGGCAAAACAGAAATAGGACTTCTCATATTCAGGTCCCCATCTTACTTCCTAATCCAGTAGTTCCCCACTTATCTGTGGTTTCAGCTTCCCATGGTTAACTAAGGTACAAAAATATTAAGTGAAAAATTTGAGAAATAAACAATTCATAAGTTTTAAATTGCACGCCATTCTGAATAGCATGATAAAGTCTCCCAGCACATGAATCATCCCTTTGTCCAGCACATCTATGCTGTCTATGCTACCTACCTGTTTGATAACTATCTCAGTTATCAAATCACAGTGATTGTGTTGAAGTAATCCTCACCTTAATTAATAATGGCGCTGGAGGGCAAGAGCGATTCTGCCAATTAGGTATGCCAAGGAGAAGCCATAAAGTTCTTCCTTTAAGTGAAAAGGTGAGTGTTTTAAACTTAATAGAAAGAAAAAGGAATCATGTACTGAGGTTGCTAAGATCTATGGTAAGAACAAATCTATCCGTGAAATTGTGAAGAAAGAAAAAGAAATCGTGCTAGTTTTGCTGCTGCACCTCAAACTGCAAAAGCTACAGTCACAGTGCATGACAGCTATGATGGAGAAGGCATTACCTTTGTAGGTGGAAAACATGAACAGAAACGTGTTCTGATTGATGGCAGTCAGGTTTGTTACTATCCACAGTTTCAGGCATCTGCTGGAGGGCTTGGAATGTATCTCCCATGGGTAAGAGGGGACTACTCTAGTTGGTTCACGTGTACTGGATGCATCCCATCTCTCTCCACTCCTGGACTCTATTGCGTTCTCTTCACAAACTATTTGGCAGCAGCTGTTCTCCCTTCTCTTACCCAGTAAAATATCACCATCTACGAAGATTTCCCCCATTCCCTCTTTCATAAAGTAAGGCTCTATACCCACGGCTCTATTGTGACTTTATTATGTTGTATTAAAATTCCATGCTTCCCTCACCCCACAACCTTTGTGCCTCAATGTCTACTAAAAAAATAAATTAAGGTCGGGCATAGTGGCTCACACCTATAACCCCAGCACTTGGAAAGGCCGAGGCAGGCGGATTATCTGAGGCCAGGAGTTCGAGACTAGCCTGACCAACATGGAGAAACCCTGTATCTACTAAAATTACAAAATTAGCCAGGTGTGGTGGCACATGACTTTTGTCCCAGCTACTAGGGAGGCTGAGGCAGGAGAATCACTTGCACCTGGGAGGCAGAGGTTGCAGTGAGCCAAGATCAGGCCACTGCACTCCAGCTTGGGCAACAAGAGCAAAACTCTGTTTAAAAAAAAAAAAAAAAACCCAACAACAAATGAGTTGTAGGCCATAGGTCACAGTATCAAGGAAATGAGATAAGGAAATAGCTTAGTGGAATGATTTTTATCCTTCTAAGATTGGTCTGTAGCCAATTCTGTACAATCTACACTAAAACGAGACGTCCTTCATAAAACCCAACTTAGAGATCATTAAAATCTATTCTTTAATAAGACATTTTTAACTATGAAAAGGAAGGGAACAGAATGAACGTGGGCTTCAGAGACACAAACACCCAAACACCCTTCCCTCTGTTACTTAGCCAACTCGAGTTATACATTACCTCCCTTGGAGACTGTGTTAAAGAGAGGCCACTAAAACCACATGCTTTAGAAGAAATAAACAGGATTTAAAACTACTTTATCTAGTTCTTTCTGCACATTGTTACTAGATGCTTGAAACAACATGGATAAGCAACAGTAGCAAGAAGCCAACATTGATTCCAACCTACTAGATGAAATATATGCTCTATAATTTATTGTGATATATTTTAAAATTATTTTTGAATAGACAATTATGGTACATAAAACATACTTTGAGGTCGTTAACACTACCATTTTTACCTCAGAATACAATCAGATGAAAGAGCTGCTATAGATTAATTTTAATATACACCTCATATATACAAAATAAATGGGATATAACAATAAAGGACAACCAAGATTTAACTCAATTCAAAGTAAAGGCTGGGCGTGGTGGCTCACGCCTGTAATCCCAGCACTTTGAGAAGCCAAAGCGGGTGGATCACTTGAGGCCAAGAGTTCAAGACGAACCAGGTCAACATGGCAAAACCCTGTCTCTACTAAAAATGGAAAGAATTGGCTGGGCATGGTGGTACACGCCTGTAATCCCAGCTACTCAGGAGGCTGAGGCACAAGAATCACTTGAACCTGGGAGGTGGAGGTTACAGTGAGCTGAGATTGCACCATTGCACTCCAGCCTGGGCAACAGAGTGAAACTCTGTCTCAAAAAAACAAACAAAACAAAATAAAGTTGGCTAAAACACAGAATTACCATTTGATCCAATAATTCCATTTATGGGTATATACATACAAGAGAACTAGAAAGCAGAGACAACTTTTTTTTATTTTGTTGCCATGCTACCCCCATCCTTACTATTCCATTGTTGAATTAATTTACCTGAAACACCAAGGAAAAAGTGAGGTAAAAATGTCTCGAAGTAAAATGTTATTAGCTACATTCTGTGATGCCCAATACTCAAAGCAGTCTTAAACGTTCTGGATTTTAAATTTGGATTTTGTTACTTCTTCAGTTAAATAAACAGAGGGAAACAGGCTAAAATAAACTTGCTGTGGCTCATGGTGGCATTCCAAATCAGAGACTCATGCACCGCCAATCAACTGTATTCTACATTTTCCATACATCCAGTGGGTCTACAAGTAAGAAGGAACCTATTCAATGGGTTAGACAGTGTTGTTTCCCTAAAATATAATTCATAAATTGAATCTCACTTGAGTCTACTATCTGGAAAGAGGGGAAGGTTGTGTATATTTAAGCCCTGCATGTAAGGAACCACAAATAAGTGTATTTCTTCAGGGTGTATGTACTCTAAGTATACAGTAGCTCCTCCTTATCCAAGGACAATCAGTTCCAAGCCCTCCTATAGATGCCTAAAACCGCGGATGGTACCAAGCCCTGTCCCACTGTCATAAATCAGAGCACGTTTCTGTTCACGTCTTCCACTCAGAAATCTAATCTTTTCCATCATAACTATACTTATCACACAGTGGCTATAACTTTTGCAGTCTGAGATGCAATAGGAAAACTAGTGCATAATTCTTTTTCTTTCTTCACAATCTGAACAGAAGATGCATTCTTGCCACAGATCTTAGCAACCTCAGCACACAATCTTTTTTCCTTACTGAGAACTTCCATCTTTTCACTTAAAGGAAGAATTTCATGGCTTCTCTTTGGCATATCCAAATTGCCAGAATCCTCTTGCTCTTTGGGGTCATTATTAAATAAAATAAAGATTACTCAAACACAAACAATATGATACCATGACAGTCAACCTGATAACAGAGCTGGCTCCTGTGAGACGATTTGGCAGGTAGCATCCACAGTGTAGCTACACTAGACAAAGGGATGATTCATGCACAGGACGATGCAAGATGTCATCATGCTACTCAGAACAGCGCACAATTTAAACAAAAACAAACTGTTTCTTTCTAAAAGTTTCCATTTAATATTTTCAAACTGTGGTTGAACATAAGTAACTGAAACCTCAGAAAGCAAAATCACATGAAGAAGAGACTACTGCACAAAGGTACAAGGTTTTTAAACAACTGTACAAGGTTTTTAAAAACGAAATGGGTACCAATCAACAGTGTGTTACAGTAAAAATGTGTGGCCTATTTAAAAAACAACAACAAAAACCGGAAAGTATTTCCAAGATACATAATGTAAATGATCTGAATTACCAATGGAAAAAGTTTCTCTGCAAGATATTACCAGTTCAGCACTTTTTTCAGGATTCCAATTCTGATACTTTCAGTATTTCCACTCCTGTGCCAATGTTTTCATGACAAGACATTTTAAGGTCTGAAGAAGGCATTCCCTCCACACCCCACAAAGCCACTAACAGACTTCCCAGTCTTACCCTTTTTTCTTACTTTCCCTGTGGTTCTACTGGAAGAGCTATCTCTTCTGTTGTTGAAAGTCAAACCCTCCCAAGCCCCTCCAACACACATTCACACACATACACACCCTCCATTTTATGATGTCTTCCCTAAAACTTTGTCCCAACTATTTGATCTCTCTTCCTCATCTTCACTCTCTTCATCATAACTAGGTTCAAAGTCTCTCTGATCTTTAAAAGGCAAGTGAAAAATCTCACCCTGGTCCAATTCTACCCTGTCTTCTCTTTACAGCTAAGTTTTCTCACACCTCCCTCCTCACTCTCTTCAAGCAATTGCAATCTGGCTTCTGCTCACATCGCCTTACTGAAATTGCTCATTGCAAAAGTCACTAATGACCTCAACCTATCAAACCCAATAGAATTTTTCTATTCTTAACTCGTCTGTCCTTTCTGGACTTCCGATATCACTAAACACACGTTCCTTCTTAAATCTCTCATCTCTTAGCTTTCTTTCCCCAATACTAGTGTCTCCTGGTTTTCCACCTTATTCTCTGATTTCTCTCCTTCAGAATCCTTCATAAGCACATTTTTCCCTGTTAGTATCTTAAATTTTAATATAACCAAAGCTTTCAAGCTTGATTGATCTCTTGCTCTTTTCATTCTATATTCTCTCCCAGGTCATACTGTTACTCTGTAAATCTCTATGCGCAACCTAGAATTTTCTCCCACAATCCTGATCCAACTGGTTATTAAAAATTGAGGCTGTGTACTCAATTATGTGCAGCACATATACTAAAACTGGACAGATACAGAGGTCAGCATGGCCTCTGTGCAAGGATGACATGCAAATTTGTGAAGCCTTTTCTTTTTTTTTTTAATTGAGGCTGGAAGCAGTGGCTCATGCCTGTAGTCCTAGCACTTTGGGAGGCCAAGGCAGGCAAATCACTTGAGCTCAGGAGTTCAAGGCCAGCCTGGGCAACATGGCAAAACCCTGTCTCTACTAAAAACAAAAATTAGCTGGGTGTGGTAGCGCACATCTGTAGTCCCAACTACTCAGGGGGCTGAGGCACAAGAATTACTTGAACCTAGGAGGCAAAGGTTGGAGTGAGCTAAGATCATGCCACAGTGCTGCAGCCTGGGTGACAGAGTGAGACTCTGTCTCAAAAAAAAAAAAAAAAAAACACCTGAGGCTCTCCCACTAGAACCTCAGACTCAATGCAACCCTAATTTAATTTATAATCTTTCCCTTAATCTTCCCCTTCTTTTTTATATTCCCCATCAACTACCCCATTACCCAAAATATGAAACAAAGATCATAAGACTCCTCACTCTTTTCTATCCTCCCTCCATATTTCAGTTGCTAAGTCTCAACTAGCTTCCATCAAGACTCTCTTTACTTTCCTCTGTGTTCCCACTGTCACTGTCTTAAAACCCGTCTCTGTAAGAAACACAAAAATTAACCAGGTGTCGTGGTGTATGCCTGTAGTCCCAGAACCCAGGAAGCAGAGTTGGCAGTAAGCTAAGATTGTACCACTGCACTACAGCCTGGGCAACAGATTCCCGTTTCCTGCCTTCTACCTCCTACCACTCACTCTCCACTGGATGGCTAAAGCAATTATACTGTAATTCAAATCTGAAAAAGGATTTACCCTTTAATGGCTCCCCAAGCTTTGAAAATCAAATGTAAATTCCTCAGCACACAAATTCTTTCATGATTGGTCCCTATTTCCTCTCTAACATCACCTCCTCCCATTTCCTAACCCCGCCCCAGCCACACTGAACTACTTATTATTTTGGCAGTTTCCCATCATAGTGCTAGCTGTTTTACACACCTGTCTCTACAGAGCTCTTAGAAGGCAATACACAAAAACCCATTAAGCAAGGCTGTTTATGGCGATACCTATTAAAACTTTTTCTTGAAACCAGACAAACATAAAACCAGACAAACATTTATTTGCATTTGGTTTCACTGGTTCAAATGTCTAAAAGCTGGAATAAATCCACCTGCCTCTCTTCCAGGCTCTTCCTCCAATGTGTGTTAAACTGGCCAAGTATGGCATATGCCATTACTGATTCCTGGTCCTCCAAGGCCTAAGAGGCTCACCCCCGGGCAGGGCCCAGAGCCAAAGCAAATGCAGAAGGTGGCCACAGGTACAGTCTCCGTGGCATCAGGCATTGTTTGGGCTGAGGCACCCTAAGAAGTAGCTACTGGCTCACGATCATATGACTACTGCAGGAACAGCAACCCCAGCAGGTCCCAGCTCTAGCCGGTTTCCTCTGGGCAGCACGTGAGAATGGGATCCCTGCCTTTTTGTTTGTTTTAATCTTTATCATCCAGATCGAGTTTCAAAGAGCTCAAAAATGTCCTTGCCACATGTGGACATCAGAGAGCAACAGATGATTTTTCAGAGCCATATTCTTGTTAAATTTGGACAAAATGAATCATGTCTTTCAAAGTTTCTTTGTATTTCACTTCAGTTGGCAGTTGACCCAACATCCTTCCTAGTTGGTTTTTTTTTTTTTTGAGACAGGGTCTCACTTTGTTGTCCAGGGTGTGATCATGGCTCATTGCAGCCTTGACCTCCGTGAGCTCAGGTAATCCTCCCACCTCAGCCTCCTGAGTAGCTGGAACTACAGGCATGTGTCACCCTGTTACCCAGCTGGTCTCAATTTGTGAGCTAACACAATCCACCCACCTCGGCCTCCCAAAGTGCTAGAATTACAGGGGTGAGCTACCATGCTCAACCAACCCAACATCTTTACGCTATGCAATGAAAATACAAAACACAAAATGAGAATACAAAAAAAATGAAGCATTACATTGTAAAAGTGTTTGGTACAAAAATATACTTAAATAAAATACACATTTCAATAAAAATGCCTACAGTGAAAGCTCTATGCATTCTGAGAAACTTCACAACATCTAGACAGAGCCAACATTCATGGAGGATACCTGACCAACATGGAGAAACCCCATCTCTACTCAAAATAAAAAATTAGCCAGACATAGTGGTGCATGCCTATAGTCCCAGCTACTCGGGAGGCTTAAGCAGGAGAATCACTTGAACCCGGGAAGGGAAGGTTGCAGTGGGCCGAGATCCTGCCATTGCACTCCAGCCTGGGCAACAAGAATGAAACTGTCTCCAAAAAAAAAAAAAAAAGAAAAAGAAAATGACTAACTCAGGGAGCTAAGACTCAGAGTTCACTGTGTCTAATTTTGTTTACTCTTCCATGACACTCATGCCAAAAGAACACTGAAAGACAAATTAAGTGACATAATATAAGAAACATAATATTTACTGTGTTGCCATGGTTTCCAAATTAACAAAAATTATTGCTCTATTTCCTAGCAACTTCCCTTTTTTTTTTTTTTTGAGACGGAGTCTCGCTCTGTCTCCCAGGCTGGAGTGCAGCGATGCGATCTCGGCTCACTGCTATACCCACCTCCCAGGTTCAAGCAATTCTCTGCCTCAGCCTCCTGAGCATATGGAGTTACACGTGCCCGCCTGGCTAATTTTTGTATTTTTAGTAGAGATGGGGTTTCACCATGTTGGCCAGGCTGGTCTTGAACTCCTGACCTCATGCCTTGGTCTCCCAAAGTGCTGGGATTATAGGCATGTGCCATCATGCCCGGCCTCAACTTCCCTTTAGTACAAAATTTTAAAATTATATCTTACAACATAATTATGTTTAACCACTTTTAAGTTTTTGGTAGTTGAGGACAAATATTTAAATTTTTCTGAGCATAAACACCAATATGTAGTAGATAAAATCTTAGATTTTTTTGTTTTTATGTTTTGAGATGGAGTCTCTCTGTCACCAGGTTAGAGTGTAGAGGTGCGATCTCAGCTCACTACAACCTCTGCTTCCCAGGTTCAAGCAATCCACCTGCCTCAGCCTCCTGAGTAGCTGGGACAACAGGCGTGTGTCACCACACCCAGTTAATTCTTTGTATTTTTAGCAGAGATGGGGTTTCACCATGTTGGCCAGGATGGTCTTAATTTCCAGACCTCATGATCCACCTACCTCAGCCTCCCAAAGTGCTGGGATTACAGGTGTGAGCCGCCACACCTGGTCAAAATCTAGGAATTTTAACTTATTTTTTTCTGATATCAAACAACTCATATTTCACATGTTTTTTTAATTATAAAAAACCCTGTCTTTTCTAAGAGACAGGGTCTTGCTATGTTGCTGAGGCTAGTCTCGAACTTCTGTGCTCAAGTAATCCTCTCACCTCAGCCTCCCAAGTAGCTGTGACTACAGGTATGCACCACTGCACCTAGCCATTTCATAATCTTCTATGAATTGTTGTTTATCACCACTGAGAACATGAGCATTTTAAATAAGAGTAATTCTGCCTCCTGTGGAGTTTCTTTTCGGACAAATCCCATTTGCACACAACAACCTGAACCAAACACATTGGATAGTATCACTGAATTGTACACTTGAAAAAAAAGAAATCTAGGCTGGGTACGGTGGCTCATGCCTGCAATCCCAGCACTCTGGGAGGCTGAGGCAGGTGGATCACCTGAGGTCAGTAGTTCAAGACCAGCCTGGCCAACATGGTGAGATCCCATCTCTACTAAAAATACAAAAATTAGCTGGGTATGGTGACATGCGCCTGTAATCCCAGCTACTCGGAAGACTGAGGCAGGAGAATCGCTTGAACCTGGGAGGCAGAGGCTGCAGTGAGCTGAGATTGTGCTGCTGTACTCCAGTCTGGGAGACATAGCGAGACTTGATTAAAAAAAAAAATCCACATGTTATAGCAAACACAAATGTAAAACAGCCATGGAGCTTCCTTTCTTACCTCTTACAAGTAAATTTGCATATCATATATATATATACATATTTTTTTTTTAATATTTAGAGGTGGGTTATCACTCTGTTGCCCAAGCAGGAGTACAGTAGCAGGATCACAGCTCACTGAAACCTTGAACTCCTGGGCTCAAGCAATCCTCCTACCCCGCCTGCTGCGTACCTGGGACTACAGGCACATGTCACCACACTCAGCTAAACCAAATATGTTCACATGTAAATTCTGCTCAACAATCTCTGGACACTTTTTACTAGACTCCAATTCTTATTATCCTATCCTGAATGAGCTCAGGGATTCGACACCAGCCTGGGCAACAGAGCAAGACCCTGTCTTTATTAAATGTAATTGTTACTTAATAATTATTATAATCATAGTAAGAGGTTAAATGTACAGACTCTGGAGCCAACCTTTATGAGTTTGAATCCAAGCTCTGCTATTTCCTAGCTATGTTACCTTGGAGAAGTCACTAATGACTTCCTCATCAAGATCCTATCCTCTAATCTAGAAAAAATAATCATATGTCTGACATTCATTCTCTAGATTTAACAGAGCTGTGCATATGGACATCAACTTTCTTTGGGTCCTGAACTTTGGAAGAAATCACAGAATTTTAGAATCAGGAAAAAATTTCTCAGATCATCAGGTACAAAAATCAGCAACATTCTTGTGGCTGGGCATGGTGGCTCATGCCCATAGGCCAAAGTGGGCAGATCACCTGAGGTCAAAAGTTTGAGACCAGCCCAGCCAACATGGTGAAACCCTGTCTCTACTAAAACTACTAAAATTAGTTGGGTGTGGTGGTGCACGCCTATAATCTCATCTACTCAGGAAGCTGAGGCACAAGTAATCACTTGAACCTGGGAGACAAAGGTTGCAGTGAGCCAAGATGGCACCACTGCACTCCGGCCTGGCTGATGAGTTAGACTCTGTGAAAAAAAAAAAATTGTAACTTTCACTTAAAGAAGTAGGCATAAAATGCATTTTCTTCATAATTTCAGCTCTAAAACAAGGAAAGCAGTAATACTCCAGGTTTCTGTAATACCTTTAAGACTT